TTTCTGAATGCAACTTTTATTAACCACCAGCTCCTTGAGAGAGCAGCAAGCCACAGACATCCTCATCAAAACAGGAATCCAAGGAAAAGCTATTTATAGAGTAACCACACAAACGCATACATGCATGCAGGAGCTGATGTGATGTCTCTTACAGTAATGCAGTGTGTCTCAGATGTGAATATTGCAGTCCTCTGCATACATGGCACACATTATTTTTTAAAGAAATTTGCATTACAAATGTTTTCGTTCTTAGCATTAATTTAACAGTTAGCTGAACATAAAAAAATCACTTACACCAACAATAAAAATTATTTTTTTTGCTCTTGCTACAGCAGGGTATAAAGTTTACCTTCGGCAGGGCCATAGTTTCCCCACAAAAAATAAAGTATGTCTGGACACTGAGGTCCTCCATAAGGAAATTAATTTTGTCACTATTTGAATGCACCTTTCAGGGGAAGTTTGAGATGAATATAGAAGCAAAGGAGAGTGGAGAACAGGCCTAACAATGGAGTTTCCCCTTGACTTCCACAAAAGTTTACTTTCACACACAGGCTTCGGTGTGTACACGTGTGTTGTCATTCAGCTTCCAGGCAGAGTCATTGCAGGGATATACAGTATGTGACTCATGAGGGAGTTTGTATCCTGAGTTGGCCCTTGTTGAGCAGACTGAGGGCCAGGGTCAACGTTTAGCCGGTGGAACATGTCCGATCCCTGGCAACGGCAGGAAAACTGGATCATCTTGTTGTCTTCAATTAGAAAATACACTGTTGCATTCATTTGGATACAGTCAAATAAAAAGCTTTCCTGCATAACTGGCTCATCTCACGCAACACACGCCTGAATGCAGCCTCTGTGTGTGTGAGTCGAGAGCACTTTATTTCACACTGAAGCACATTCTCCCTGGGCCTCCAACCATTTGCATTCTGTTAGTTTTTCTAATTGTCTGTATAAACATTGCACCACACTGGCCTTATGTTGTGGTTAATTTTCCCAAGGCTTGACAAGCCAGATTTAGGAATTTAGTTAGCTCTGGCATGTGTTGTCGCTCATTCAACGGGTTCATCAGAAAAACAGTTTTCCCAGCAGACAAACATCATGCTTCCATAAAACATGTGTGCCAAGATTATTCATGTTCTCTATTTATAGAAGCAATCATATTATGATTGCTATTATAGTCCTCCATTGTGTGTGTGAGTGTGTGTGTGTGTGTGTGTAGAGTGCATGGCGCCAGTTTTATGATGCACCGTGTACTCAAGCCACATACAGTAGCAGTATACACGTTGTAGAGTAGTCGCCATACAAGTCTGTTTTGCCCAAGGGCTCATGTGTCAAGATGTATTTCTCCTGTTCAACATGGTGACTAGTGTGTCTCCTTGCCAACCAAAACAGAGAAGTGGAAACAATTGAGTTTACATCCCAATCTCCAATCTATGTGATCCCATTTGCTTTGTCATAATATCACTTCCCCTTCACTTCAGTGTCTAGGCGCACAACCAAATCCTTTGTTTATGTTCTATTCAGGAATACATTTTTTTTCCTTCTTCTTCAGAGATAGACTTCCCTCAGCAGCACCACATGCACACTCGCCACAAAAATCACTCACTCACCTTATAATCTCCTCTGAAAGATGAATATTTGTGATTCCTGCCCTGCCTCCAAGAAAAGTACTTTTTGCAGCTGTTGTTCTGTTAGCAGACAAAGGGAATTGCTCTAAATCCTGGCAGTCTATCCCTTCAAATGTAATCTTATATGTCACATGGACACAAAACATTCTGATCCAAAGCAATATCAGAAAGATTATAGACCTCAATCCAGTGTGAATATTGGTATCAAGAATGACTAAAGATGGAATCGTAGTTGAATGCATGCTACTAAGTGGAACAGAGTTAAAGTGGAAAAAGCTCCTGTTTGTCTTCAGAAAGTTATGAAAATGCCAAAAAAACTTCTTTCACTGCATCTTTTTTTCTTTTTGCCACATAACAAAAACAAGAAAAAGTTGAAATGGTAAGGGTTGGATTTGGACAGGGCGAGATCCCGACATTTGATCTGTGGCATAATGAAGTATTAGCTTCCATTACAGTGTAAGCTTAACCTTTTTGCGGAGCACCATTGAGCGCTTGCCAGCAGTCATCAATATTTAACAGCTGTTGCTATTATGAAATTCTTTATGGGCTAATGTGGCTCGCCGGCTTGCACGCAAGGCCTTGGCCGGCCGCCAGCACCCTGTCAGGAGGAAAGGGGGGGAGATTGACAGACGGCTCGCTCGCGTGACAACCAGCTCTTGATCAGCCAGCTTCCCTCTCTCTCTCTTTCTCTCTCTCTCTGTCTGTTGGTGTTGCTTTCTCTGCTGTGGATTTCCTGTGCCTGCGGAGAGAGAGAGAGAGACAGGGAGGGAGAGAGAGAGAGAGAGAGAGAGAGAGAGAGACAGAGAAAAAGAGTGCTGAGGGAAGGGGGCGGGAATAGGCAAAGGAAGTGGCTGTAAGCCAACCCAACCTCAACACACACACATGCACATACACACAGTTTTCTCTACTCACGCAAGCCTTGTAGGAGGGAGGGACTGCTGTGCTGCACAGCATGCGCATGCTCAGCTCTTCTTTTAAAGCCAAACATACAGCAGAGGATCAGCTGCCAAAAGATGGCACCCATGCCACTGAAATAAGGGAGACAGAGAACCTGAACACAGATAGATAACATTGATGTGTTTGGTGTCACAAAACACATCGGTTATCTAAGACATTTACAAAACACCAACCCTCTGACAAAAAATGTAATTAAAAAATTTTGGATATAATTACTTCTTACCAAGGAACCAAGGAAGTTTCATTAGCAAAAAGTATTAAAATTAAAAGTTTTCATGAAGCAGAAAAATGGCCCCTGTACTTATTGAAATTACTTATGTATATCTTATAGAAATAGAAATCAATTTAAATAGAAAACAAATTATTGCAAACAGGCAAAGTATAAAGTAATGAAATGTCAAGAAACACAATAGAATTGGCAGCAATAACCACTTGTTTGACTTGTTTTGGAGTAGCATGCATGCAGGTTGGTAAGTCCCAGGTTAAAACCGTGCAGCAGCTGGTGTTGTGTCTATGAGCAGCCATGTATGAACACTTACCTGCTCCTCACTGCATATTGTTCTGGATAGAAGCATGAGCCAATGAATAGATCTGGAGTATTACCTACCATTCAGTTCAAAATCCATGCTACTCTTGTACTCACAATTTATAAAATGCTTTGAGACATGCAACACAGCGCTCTTTAACATAATGTCATGCCATGCCATCGTTGAATCTAATGCTCTAATGTACAGGGTTGTATTGAAATATTAATCTGTGCATTTTTCATCATTTTGTGAGACATTTCTGTTTTATTAGTGTTTTATCTCCATTATCTCCAGAATTAAAGCATGTCAGTGACACTATGGGCCCACAGAGACATCTCTCCCTGCTTTTCACCACTCTCAGAGGAGAGGTTTCTTCTTTCTCTTCTCTGTTTTCTCTTCATATTTCTCTTTTTCAGCTGTTATTGGTAGTGTGGGAGGAAGTGGCTTTAGTGGAAAGAGTGTTGAAAGCAGACAAACACACACACACAGACAGTGCTGTACACACCCAAATGCTGCATGGCCAAACTCACCCCCTAGAGGTTGCAGAAATGAATATCTGGTTTATAGGAACTGTGTCCTCAACTCACACATACATACACTCCTTTTTTCATATGTGCTCATTCCCAGTCTCTGACAACAAGCAGTGAAAGTTGTGTAGAAGCAGGGAAAATTTAGCTGTTTTTTCACTATAACAGGAGCACCAGAAATAATTATTTTGGCACACAGCAATCTCAAAGCAATCACTCATAAATCTTATCGCATTTTACAACCAGTCTTTATAGATCTTTTCTCACCTCTCCTATTTCTTTCCTTCATATTCCCTTTCATAATATCAGATTATCTTTTTATTTCAATAAATCAAACTCATGTGATGTCATTTTAGGCTCCGTAGTTGCTCATTCTCTGATTTGGCGGGTGGTCCCAATATTTTGTGTACTCAGTGGAAGTGGAAAGACAGACCTGGCCAACCAACGGCACTAGACACTTTCAGCCTCACCCTTTGGCAGCATCTACATCCCGCTACCTGTCACTTTCTTACTTAACAACCTGTCCTCACACAGAGCACATAAGCTCCTCGCCATTACCTACTCTGTTTTCATTTTTAGACCAGAGAGGGAGAAAATATAGGCAAAGAAAAGCAAACCCGAAGACATGGGCGATGATGAATAAAGCCTGTATTGTTGGCAGAGGAAGTGCCGGTGCCGATAATTAATCATCCCGTATATTTGTCTTTCCTGACTCTGCATCCTCTCCAAAAGCTGCTGTAAGAGAGAAAACAAAAATACATGAGGCGTTGAAGGAGCAAAATAAAGAGGCTTATTAGATTCATTTCCCTCTGCACTAGTTTCCACTGGTTGGATGATTTTGCGGTGATTGAAGAGAATGGTTTTGTGTGTATGTGTGCGGTTGCCTGAGTCTGTTTGTCTGCATGTGTTTGCACCTAGCGGAGGTGATGACAAAATACTTAACATTATTACTGGCATTTATGAGTTCATGAGAAGCTGCCCGTCAATGCAGTAAACAGCGTTTAACCTGATTTTTAGCAGCAGACACACACACATTAAAGCCTTTATTTTCACCCATAGCTTGAAAAAACCTGGCCTTGCATGAGGGGGAATACAGGATTATATGCGAAAAAAATTAATCCAGGCAAAATGTATGGATAAAAAAAAAATTACACATTAGCTTTGCATGCTTCAGAAGGAAATTAAGAGAAGGGAAACTCTTTAAGCATCACGAAATCGGTTGTCGATCGCCTGCTAAGCTGAGTTAAATAAAGAAATGGAGGGGAGATGAGGAGAAGGAGGGTATAAGAAGCGTTTGGGGAGGTGGTGGGTGGACAGAGGACAGGGGATGGTAGAAGGTTTAAAGGGGAGGTATGGAAGCCGTAATGGGGTTAGTCAAGGGGGTGGGGACTATAAGAGACATCGGAAGATACATACATGCATAAATACTTACTTACATAGTAGATTTTCATAATGAGGCTATGGTGTGTGTGTGTGTGTGTGTGTGTGTGCGTGTGTTGCGTGACTAATCTGGGCCTGGTACAATGAGTGATGGAGCGTAGGGCTGATCTCTTGGAGTGAGCCACATGCCCCCCGACAGCACACCCATACGAGAAACACGCAAACATGCATGGAACACACGCAACACATACGTCACAAATGCACATGTGACAGTTCTGCACGCCACAGTCGTATAGGCTAATTGAATGTATACACACTCTGGCATGGAACATAGTATGTGTATAGTGGTTGATGGAGTGTGAATTAATTACTTTTTATCACTTTGATGAGTATTTCTACTTTATTAACAATCAGATAGCACAAAGGAGCAGGAGATTCGTGAAAAGCAAAATCAAGTGTTCTTCCGAGGATCCTACTTTGAGATCCATAGGCAAAACTTTCTTTTGTATTCTGCTCCCTTCACAAAGAGGTCAGAGGTCAGGCTCAGCTAGAGAACAGCAGCGCTGCAACTGGAAAGCTTTTACTGTTTCCTCAAGGACACTTCAGCGAGGATGAAGCTTGTCTTTACAGAATGTTATGAATGAAGAACATTGCACACCCTAAGCCATTTTAAACAAAAAATCTCCTATTCACATGAAAACAGCAAATGTTACACTGAATTCAGTGAACCTCTTAAACTATTTTTAAGATTTAAAAAGATAAATAAAACATGTTATTCATAATATATTTGCTGCTCTACATGTGTCTTTCTTTATATTTTTGAACGACCAGTTTACGCAACTCAACAATCAACCAGACCGTCCCAAACGCAGTGACTGCTGTCTTCTACCTCACTCTGTGTGGTAGAATGAGCGTTGCATGTGCATGTGGATATATCGTGTGAGAGGAATCCTGTAAAGTCCTGAAATCCTCCACTGTTTTGTCTTGGAAGGCAGGCCCACCACACACACTAATACCTGGCGTTAGTGCAGTATTAAAGGAGACTGATAAAGTTAATGTGTCCGCCATATGTCTGAGTGTCGGTCCAACTCTCTCACTGCCATATCACAGAGGTTGGGAGAGTTGGTAAGAATGCTTTGGAAAATAGTCATTGTTGTTATTCTCAAATGTTCTTTCCATTGTCACCTGCACTTGTAACAACCTTTGTTATCATTTCTGACATCCTTAAACCCACAGGTTGCTATTAGATTACTGTTTTAACATAAATACGGCCCTTTTTATGTTTACCCTTTTCTTTTTCTATTTTTATAGCAAACCAAGAAAAGGCCTCCAGGAAGCACATCATCAGCACAGCATCCTCTAACCCTGAATCCAGGAAAGAGAGCCTTCCAATGGGCACCACGGTCAATGAAAGCAGCCTCCTCCTGGAAGTAAGAAGCCACATATTTCTGTGTGTGTACGACCCCTGTTCATGTAAGAAACTGGACAGAAAGTATTGTGTGTATGTAAATACTGTCCTAAAGCTTTAATAATGCCAGTTTTTACTATGCTATTATCACATCGTTGCCTTTTTGGTTGCACGGTCTTGCCTCCTGCATGTCCCCTTTGATAAATTACTTGCTAGCTTGCATACACGCCAGTCAGGGGACCATTTGTGTCTGAGGGAGTGAGTGTGATTTGGGAGGGGGGGTTAAGGGTTTTTGTGTGTGTGTGTGTGTGTCTATGCGTGTGGGCCCTTCGCCCTTTGCCCTGACCTCCTTTGCAGAGCTGTGGTGTTGCGTGACAAAAGGGTGAGATGGGGTGTCAGAGTTGATGAAGGAGGTGGGGACTCACACATGCTAGAGGCTTGAACAGCCTGTCAAGTGTACGTGTGTGTGTGTGTGTGTGTGTGTGTGTGTGTGTGTGAGTGCATCTCTGTCTAAATACATGTGGTAAAGTGAGCAGAAGAGATCGAGAAGAACATATCAAACCTGTCGACAGTAATCAGAGCAAAGAGAATATTTGTTTTTTTGTCAGTTGACCTAAGACCTTTAATACGATTTTAACCACAGATTAAGTGTGCATTTATTCAGGGTATGACAAGTAATGTCCTATTATTTTGACTTGATATCAGGACACCCAATTGTACTTAGCTATGACCAATAACACACACATGCAAACAATGCATATTTTTATATATTTTAAATGAAACATGTGAAGACTGTTAAATTCCTACAAAGGCAAATGTTTCTGTTGAAGGTATCAATGCAAACAGGATGTCATAATCGCATGCTGTACAGCTGCACTACATGGGAGTTGTGAGAGCATCAGATCACTGCTACGCGCTCAATATCCTAATGGCTATCTGTTAAACAACAAATTATGACACTGATCATCGCCAACAACTGTGTGAGCATACACACACACAGTGCTGAGCTGATCCACTGATGCTTCTGTTAACGTGTTAGGTTGTCTCAGCGGGGTGGTACACAAAAGGATAGATTGACCGTAGTGATGTGATGCCTACCGTTGCGTGACTCAACCTGCGCTGGGGCCTCGTAGCAAACAGTGCATTAGTTGTTATGGTGATGGGATCCCAAGAGAGGGAAGAGACATTTGTGTGTGTGTGTGTGTGTGTGCATGGGTTTGTTTTATTATACTTTTATTATATTTGTGGGGTCCAAAAACTGTGATTCTACTATACATATGGGTGTTGGACCCCACAAGTTTAAAAGGCTTTTTGATGGTTAAGACTTGGTTTTAGGATTAGGGTTAGAATTAAGTAAAGGTTAGGGGTAGGGTTAAGGTTAGGCATGTAGTGATGGTTAAGGTTAGGGTAAGGGGCTAGGGAATACATTATGTCAATGACATGTCCCCATGGGGATAGAGGAATAAATGTGTGTGCTTGTGTTTATTTGTGTGTGTTTGTTGGGATTGCATGTCTTTGTATGTGTGTGTGCGTGTACAAGTGTTTTTTATTTATTTATTTATTTTTGGAGGTTCATACTCACAAAATACACAGTAATGTATATAAATATACAATATATTGGTTATTTTATTGTCTATATTGTATTTGCAATTTTGTATTATGTATATAAGATATGGAACATCTAAATAACAAGACTAAGAGTCCACAGCCACACTAGTGGCTCTTTGAGACTGTGGTCAGAGTTAGGGTTTCCCATGTTCAAAATTCTAAATTTTCAGGTCAGAGGTTAGGTTCAGCTTGAGAACAGCGGTGCTGGAGCTGGAAAGCTTTTACTGTTTCCTCTACACACTTCAGCGAGGATGAAGCTTGTCTTTACAGAATGTTATGAATGAAGAAAAATGCAAGTGCAAGTAAGCCATTTTTAACATGTAATCTCCTATTCACTTTTCAAATTCAAATTTTGTTTAAATCAAATAAAAACAGCAAATGTTACACTGGATTTAGTGAACCTCTTAAACAATATCATTTTCACCAGAAATACATTAATTTACTCTCTTGATGTTCACCAACTTAGTTTAGTTGGTAACATTTCCTACTTTACACAAAGTACACTATACTGCCATCCACAGCTAGCGTGGCTAAAAACTAAACTTCTGATTCTGTACTGTACTGTTTCTTATGTGTGACTGTGGCTACACTCTTTGGCTGATAGCCAAAATTACATCAGAATCCCATATTATTCTAAACTCAGGTTGTGTGTGTAGGATGTGGGTATGTTCCCAGTGGCAGAAGGTCTCCATGTTTGTCATGACCTCATCATCGCTGCTTTCATTCTGACAGCTAGACAGAAGGAAAACCAAAGAAACCCTGTCGAAAGAATGAGAGAAGGCTGCCCCACTACCACCATCACCACCACCTCCTACCTCTTCCCCTGCCCTCCCTTGCTTCCAAATCCAGTGAACCAATATTTTATTTTGGGCACTGCGTGCAAAGCGCCTCTTAAGATTTGTAAGTCAAAGCTTTTAGTCTCCCAGGGGCGGTTATGGGAGCCGGGGGTGTCTTAGTTGCAGATATGTAGCAGAGCGGGCCAGCAGCAGGTGCTTGTTTCCATTACGTAAAGGCTTTAGTATGCAAGGAACTCAGGGAAATATGAATGAGAAAACAAACAGAAAACAGCATGGTGCACAGTGCAGCCAATATCAATACATATTCTCTCTTTCTATCTATTACTATTTTCCTACTTTATAATAGACATATAAAGCTCTCTCTCTTGGTTCTTACTTAGTTTTTTGGTTTTTATAAATAAAATAGGATAATAATCACTATAGTTGTATAGGCATTTTGCTAATTTTTCTTTCGAGCTCTGTATCTGTGAAATAAATTGTAAATTACATTTATTCATTTAGCTGACGCTTTTAGCCAAAGCGACTTAAAATTGCTATACATGTCAGAGGTCGCACGCCTCTGGAGCAGCGAGGGGTTAAGTGTCTTGCTCAGGGACACAATGGTGGATGTCTCACAGTAGGAATCAAACCCGGTCTCCCACGCCAAAGGCAAGCATCTTATCTATGCACCACCACCAAATGGTCTGTCGTATTCCAACATAAATCATGGGTGTTCACATAATGGTTTTGGACATGTGAAAAATAAACGTTATTAAGAACACTGTATTAATCTAATATGTTTGCCAAGCATTCCATTTTGGAGAGCCAATTACAGCAATCAACCTACAAAATATACTGTTTTAGTCGGGCTCATTCAGGTCAAAAGTCCAAGTCCTATTTGTTCCAGAAGAATAAAAATATTTAATGGGTTTAAAATTTAATGTAGTATTTCAACAATTTAGTAGAGGAATAGAATAGGTGAACAGGGTAAATAAACCTAAATGAAGTCAGCGTGTAAATGTTGGCCGTTTTATGGCCTTGCAGGACCTCCTTAAGCCAACATCACATTCAAGTATAGTCAGGCTGTTTTCATGTCAATTGTTTGGACAGGTTCTCGAAATCCTAGATCACTGGGTCATTTATGAGAGTTCTATATGCAAGAAGCTTTACAGATGAGCTCTGTAACTGGAAGTATACTTTTAGTGCACTACTTTATATTTATGAATTAGATAAGATGTCTTAACTAAACAAGCAATCCCAGCTATGGACCTTAAAGCTATACCTTTTGTCTCCCAGACACATGATTTCAGTATAGTATATAAGATCCAAATTCTTGATCTAAAAACCAGACATTTTCATATTTTCAGCACTGACATGTTGGATTTGAACAAAATTCACTGTTTTCATAAATATATTAGATTTGGCCCTGACATGTTGTTACCAGATGTTCACACACTCCCATGCAACCAATACATTAAGTGTATTGGAAACTATACAAAGCTATACTGATCCCACATTACCCTATCTAAGCTTCAGAGCAGTCCAAACGGTGCTGTATGCCTTTTGCTGTACATAACATTACACACGGATCTTTGATCTTGCTATCTTGCTTCAAATGAAAGATGAAAAGTGATGCAGATATGCCTTCGTAGATGTGTATTGCGTCTATTATTGGGATGTGAGTGCCTGCTGGAGAACGCTGTGTGTCTGTGAGTCTGCAGGGGGATCACCCTCCCCCTGGATGTCATGAGCATGTGCCAGTTAAAATTGTCAAACATCATCTGCATCTACACCGCAAAGCACCTGAGTCATCTTCCCATCCCTGCTTCCCTGCCCATCATATATGTTTTTCACATGTCATGTCATAGTCAGGATATGTTTCTGACACAGTGTTGCTTTGTCACAGTGTGACTCAAATACCCTCAAAGTTAGGACAAAGGGCATTATTCACCCAGGTATCAGAGGGCATTATGTGGTTAAGGTGGAGCATGTGCAGTGACAGAGCATTACACTGCTCGCTAAGGCAATCAGATCACTGTTAGGAGAAAGTTAAAGAGGGAGACATAGAGGAAAAGTGAGTGTGATTGTGAATTTAGAGGCCGCATGGCTATATACCACATAAAATACACACACACACACACACACACACACACACACACACACACACACACACACACACACACCAGGGAGGACCTGCATAATCTCGCAGAAAAATAGAGGTGACAGACTCTGGCAGCAGCAGTCACGCAAGTCAAGTAGCCTTGCAGTTGTCACGCTATCACAGCTGTGCGCACACATGCGGACACACACACACACACGAAGGAACCCCCCCCCAACACTACCTTCCACGTCCCTTTCCTGTGTTTTCATTTTTCTCTCATACTCTTGCTTCCATCTCTTCCATCTGTCCATCCCGCCTCATTTGACTGAAGCCAGTTACATATTTATTTAAATTTTCTTTTTAATCAACACTTGTCTTTGTAAGCTGTGCTGGCAAAACACATTATCCCCCCATCGTGTGCACGGGTGTGTGTAAAGAGGGAAAGTGGGAACGAGATTGTTTGTGTCTAAAGTTTGTCTGCTTTTAATGAGTGTGTTTAGTATCGCAAATCAAAGCATGTTACCAGTCAAAGAGACTTAATTATCAAAGTTTCTAACTTGTGAAATATGTAAGTTTAAAGGCGAACAAATTGGTGTGCATGTCATCCTCAAGTGAATTGCTTTCAAAATACCATGAATCTAAATTCCACCCCAAAGTCAAAAAGTCTTTCAAAAGCAATATTTTGCGTTACAAATCAGCAAGTTTTGTTTGGCCGACTCATTTCCATGTCCATCTGTCTTTCATTCCTTCTCCAGTATTGTATTATTCTACCTTTTGTTCCATTTTTACTGTTATTTGCTGTTCTGAGAATTATGGAAAGAATGATATAAATTGAACATTGCGCTATAAAAAGTCTGGCTGGAGTCAAATTCTGGCTGTGTTTTGTCTCAAGCCTAAAAAAAATAATTGCACAGTGATGACTGTAACACAGCACAGTTGGGTCGCAAATAAAACCATTTGACTCTTTTGCACTGTGTTTCTGCTGGGTGCAATCATGCCATCTAAAGATAGCTTTGCAAACGTGGTGCTGGTTAAATGCAGTTGTTTGTGTTTGTCAATTATGTATTTGCTACATGATCTTTTTTCTGTGTGTGTTTGTAGTCTTTGACAGGCTTTGCCTTGGTGGTGAGCAGTGATGGGATGGTCTTTTATGCCTCCTCAACTATTGTGGACTATCTGGGATTTCATCAGGTGAGTTGAACATCTCAATTATATTTTTGATGTCCAATGTTGTGAGTAACAAGATGTATAATGAAGGTATAATACTGAATGATGAACACATCAATGGACAAACTAGTTAACAATGTCATCTTTCAAGCCCCAATGTGCAACATTTCTCTAAAAAAGGAGGGGTTTGTCATTTCCTCCCTCCACTCAGCTGGTCACATTACCTGCCCAACTTATCATGTTTTCGACAAATTGTCAGTCGTCCTCCTGCCTGAGGCTACGGTAACCTGAATCCATAAAATTATTTCAGGAATTTAGGCACCTGACAGCAAACACAACCAATATGAAAAAAATGCAACAATATTAAGGTTGAGTAATTTCTGGTCCTGGCCAAAAGAGAAAGTCTGCTTTGTAGATAACATAACTTGTTGTTTTTAAACTTTGGTTTTTGTACATATGAAATAAATGAGACATATCGGGTTCATTCGTGAGCTTTAGAGAGACTTGTAGGTGGTTGTCTTTATCTTCCAGTAGGGGTTCTTGTGCCACAAGATCTCATGATATTAAACATGATGATATCTCTCATCGAGGTGAAAACCTGCCTCGTGATATCAGCATGACAGAGTGAGAGGGTGAAACTAGCATTGAACATGCTTTAAAAAATTGTTTGTGTGGCAGCATTTTGGGTACCCAGTGGAAACAATAAACGGCAACTGAGTGAAAGACAAGACACAAACAATATGTAAGTAACATTTCAAAATGCACCTTCATTGTTTTGCATTTTGTAACTTTCAGTCGAATAAAAGACTGTAAAAGGATCGTCTTATCTCATTCTCGTGAACCCAATATCGTGTATCATCTCGTTTCGTCACACCCCTATCTTCCAGTCTTTAGGCTAAACTAAGCTAACCAGCTGCTAGCTTCAGCTTCATATATACATGAAAGTGATATCGATCTTCTCATCTTTCTAAAGCTTTTGATTATATAGGAAATGTCTATTCCTTTAATAGTTTGGATCAAATAAAATATATTTTATAATTTTAAAAATACTGGAGCAACAATTGAGGGCTAATAAATCCTCCCTGGTAGCCTCTCGCATAGTCACTCACAAGGTTTTCCCTCAACAAATGTCAGTAAATGGCATTAATCAGCAAGTTCACCTTTTTTTCCCCCTCAGCCAATCCTTTCTGTTCTCGTCCATTCCTCTCTTTCTACTTTCCTTTTCATCAGGATAATAAGCCAGAGTAAAAGTCTCTCTCACAGTCTGCCTCTCTGCTGCCTGATAACTCTATCTAGGGGGCAGAGTGAACCCACTAAGTCACAGCTAAGAGGCCACATGTAGGTGAAGACCTTTGTTTCACCCTGGCATACACTCTGTGTGTGTCTGTGAGTGTGTGTGTCTGTCTGCATGTGTGTGTGTGTGCAGGCACTGATAAGTCACCGACGGTTTAGCTTTCTTCCTCTCCAGCGGCCATACGCAGCCAGTCATTACTTATGGATGATATCAACACTGGCTCGCCTGTCCTGCGATGCTGAAATCATCTCGCTCCTTCAAAACCATGAATAAAGTGCTTTTCACTGTTAAAATCCCTCCTTTGCCCTCATGTCTGCTTACCAATGTGCACACACACACACACACACACACACACACACACAGCACACGTACACTTTGGGGTAGAAATTCTTCTGCAACAGCGCTCCCACTTGGCTTACAAGCAGACGAGGGCAGTAACGTAGCGGCATGAAATCGACATCAAAACCAAAGCGGTCTGAACGATCCAGCCAGAGTGTGTGCCTGTGTGCACATGGGTGTGTGTGTGCACAGTGGCATGGGAGTGACAGACAAAGGAAATGAAAACTGAATGGTGCATAAAATGGGTGTATCCATGTGTGTGTTGGTGGGTCTGTCAACAGGTTTTAATGTGGGATGTCTTGTATGTTGCAAAATGTTGACACATTTAGTATTAAGCTAATTAGTTTTTCTGTGTCAACTTATGTTTGACACATGCTGTCTGATGTTATGTAATGTTAGATGTAAACAAAGACAGAACACCTTTGAATATACTTAAATGATACCATGAATGTCCATACAAAATGTCATGGCAAACCATCTGGTAGTTGCTGAGATATTCCAGTCCAGACCAAAGCGGTGGACCAACAAACAGACCAACAGTGCCGTCCCTAGAGCTACGTGGTTAAAAAGACCAGATATGGTTTATGTTTGCATGCAAATGTGGAACAAGTGAAGTCTTGGGATCAGGAGTGGTTGCTATATTTCATGCTGTCTGATGTAATGTTGGATGGAAAGCAAAAAAATGCACCTGACAAAATTCACCAACAGACCATTAAACCACAACAGGTCCTCTGTGTACAGTAAAGCTGTAGCAGTATGTCACACATAAGACATGTTCATGACGCCACTGATTCCATATCAATATTTTAAATTTGACAAATGCAAAAACATACTTTGCTAACTCAGGAGAAAGAGACATGGTATTGACAGGCAGCAAACTTGGTTGGGAGCCAAAGCAACCCAGCATGTAAAGCAGCCAAAGCATTTTGTGTGATGTGGTGGTGTATGATCACCAGAGGCAGTAGAAAATCAATGTTTATCTATACACAAGATCAACTTCCAGTTCAAATAGTGTAGCTCTCTGTACAAGTCAATACTGAAAACTAAGAACCAAAATTCAGGTGATTTTTAATACATCATTCTACTGTATACAAGAAAACCTAAGAATAAATTTGTTGTTGACAATAAAAAGTCTGTCCTTGCAGTGCATAAACATATTAAAAATCCTTTAAGTACATACAGATCATCATGTTATATTTCAGAGACTGTCATCAAAACATTCTTTTAGCCTTTCCCCACATGTTCAATTCTCGCAAAGGAGCTATTGGTTGTTTTTAAGTCTCATAGTTTGCCTTTAAGGCCTTGACAACATGTCACATAATTTGAGCCCACAATTGTAGTCAGAAGGACACTTATACTTAATATACCACAGGGAAAAAAAGAAAAGAGAACACTTCACTAAGTAGCACCACAAGAAAGCCCTGGAGAAGAGCAGAAAACCTCCATTGGCCTTTGATCCCATTTGTTACTGGGGCAGTTAGCCTTTGAAGGTCAGCAAAAATATCACTTATTCTCCTTTTTTTCCCCTCTTCTTTTCCTCTCTGTGCTTTTTACGAGAAACATAAACAATAGTCACTCGATCCGTATGTCTGCCTGACTGCCGGTAGGGAACCAAACCACAGGACGAAGCGCCCGCCGAAGACGGTGGGAACAGATTGTGTTTTAAGAGGCAGGCGATCAAAAACCATCGCGTGCCACCAGTGTGGAAATTACGGAGAGAGTGCAAGGAGGAGGGAGAGAGGGAAGAGGAGAAGGTTGAACATTTTAGTGAGGAATCTGTCATGGAATGACAGAAAGCAAATCTATTGCTGGAAAAGAAAGAGAGGCCATGACGAGAGTGGGCTGAAACCCGACTCACTCTATGTATGTGTGTGTGTGTGTGTGTGTGTAGATGTGTATGGATGCGGAGGGTAAGCTGGGCTGGACTGCTGTTCAGGAGCCGGTGTCACGCGATGTTTGACAAACACAGCTGCCCTCACTGGCCCTCCAGCTACCCTTAGACTGTTACTGTACTGGGGAAATGCTCCTGCTTGTGTGTATGTGCAGACATCTATCTATACAAGTGTGCATGCATGTTTCTGTGACTTCCATTGACTTTGTGTGTACAGTATAGTCCTTGTGTGTGAGATGGGGGCAGTTGGCATGGTTATGAGGTATATAGCCATGCACGGAAACCTGAGGCAGACTGAATGTATCTGAGGCAGCACACTGCAGCTACAGAACCAGCTACACTGATAGCAGGAAAACACAGTGGTCTGCGGACAGTGCTATGAACACGCAATGTCATGTCTCTGAAGACTTTCAGGAGATGACGTGATAAAAAAAAGCTAACATAAAACTAGAAATGTCTCTATACATACATGTTTTAATAAAATGTTTTTTTCAACAAATTTCTTCAACAAACTAACCCACTAACTTTCCCCCACAGACTGACGTGATGCACCAGAATGTGTTTGACTATATTCACATAGACGACCGTCAGGAGTTCAGGCAGCAGCTCCACTGGGCCATGTGTCCTCCGCAGCACCAGGGGACGTCGGCTCATCAGGATAACCCGGCAGTTGCAGGGAGTGGTGGGTAGCTTACTGGGAACAGAGGCACCAGTGTTATTGAGCAGACTGCTTGGTTAAAAGTTAACAGGTATATGGTGGTGATCGTGGATTGTCTTTGTTAAATATTTAGATCACGATCCGATTTTGAAGTTTTGCTGGTTACTTTTAGGCAGATATACATTATGTCATCAGTAGAGAGATGCACATAAATTTCTTCCCACTTAAGTCAGACCAGCAAAATCACATTATATTATGGCAGATCAACTTTAAACATCTATTTTTATCATATAATTTCATAAAAGCTACATCCATCTCTAAAAAGACAAAGTCTATCGGTATATCATAATTTGCCAACCAATGACCAACTAATATTACCTTTTGAAAACTTATATACGTTTCATAATAAATAGATGATCTTTGTTTTTCCCCTTTTCCTGACAATGAAGCACATTGTAGGTTTGCCACACAAATTGCTGTTCATACAAAATTATTTTCCTTTCCTCCATCTTTCTCTATTACATCTCAGGTGAGGACATAGTAGTGAGCAGCCTGTTCCATTCTCCGGAGTCAGGGGGAATTCCTCCTGAGCTCTCCTGCTTTCTCAACAGATGTTTCATTGCCAGAGTCCGATGCCTTTTGGACAGCACCTCTGGATTCTTGGTGAGTGGTCTGAACCAAACTGCCAGCTTAAGTGAACAGTTCTTATATTAAAGTTTACACAAAACAAAACAGAAAAATGCAGAATATTGCAATAGAAATGAAGCATGGAGTGTGTGGCCCACTTTCTGGAGGATTACAACCCCTTTGGTACAGCAAAACTTGATTTTGAATTGTTGTGTATACAGGTATTTATAGCTGTAATGCAAGGCGTTATGTGGTAATTGGGTGCCTTGACACAGCAGCAGAATAGAAGCCTAGTTCATCCCTCATGGCTGTGACTAGAGTGGTTTGGAGAACAGCAGTGGAAAAGCCTAGAGGCCCTGATGACAGAGCAACAAGAATATGGTTTTGGACCATTTCATCAGGGTCAGAAGAGTTCACTGTCTCCAAGTCTGCTCTGGTTGCACTAACGTTGGCTGCACTATAGAAATTCTAGATGGCAATTTTCTGACATATACTGGAAGCACTTCTAGCCAAGTAGTGAGCAAATATTGGTGAGATGCTTTCCTCATCAGTCAACATAATTACAGTAGGGACACAAAATGTGTAATGCAATGCACAATACTCATTCTGTTAGCAAATAATACGGCCAAAGAATCTTCCGGCCAAAGAATCGTCCATCCCTGTTGAAAGAATACAATTAAATTAGCTTTATTGAGCATGCTAGCCACAGTGGCGGCGTGGCTTCATGGATGGCAATGTTGGTTTATTGGTCTACCACTTTGGTCCACACTGGAATATCTCAACAACTTATAAAATTCCCATCAATCTCAACTGTACTTTGTGTTTAGTGCAAATTAGCTAATGTAGCGTTAGCTAACAGGCAAAACTAAGATGGTGAAACTGGTAAACTACCTCCACTTAGTAAATTCTAACTCTCTTCTCTCCCAGACTATACAGTTCCAGGGTCGGCTGAAGTTCCTCCACGGTCAGAAAAAGAAGTCAGCCTCCGGGGCTCTGATGCCTCCCCAGCTGGCTCTATTCTGCATAGGTGTACCCCTCCTACTGCCCTCCATCACTGAGATGAAAATGAAGAACATGTTAATGCGGGGAAAGAACAAGGGAGGAGGAGGAGGGATTATCTCTGCACTGGAGCATGGGTAAGAGGGAATGAAACCTCAAACATGAGCAATATCCTTGCATTACTTTAACTTAAGTTGGAGGGATGATGTATATTCACACTGTGTCCTAGTTTAAATCCCCTGATTGTTTTAATTGGGGTGCTATACTATAATTAAAGGTCAAGCTTTTCAACACAAACTTGTTGTCTCAGACACCATTGGTCCAAACTTGAGGTTTGATGCATTTTGGCACCTTGTTATGGCCTCTACACTGATTTGCCTGATGGGGGAGAACATTTGAAACTTTCAAAGGCCACAGCCGCTACATCATCAGTTATGTTTTATTGAAGCTTGGAGTTATGGTGCACATTGTCAGCAGTCAACCCAGAGATGGTCTCATAATTCATAAGGGGTGACATGTTTACTTTGGAATAGTGCAGTTTACATGTAAAAACATACTTAGTGACTGGCTTGACTAAGATCCATGAGGCAAGGGTACATAAAAACACACTCAAAACAGTGTAAGAGTGATGAAAAATTACGTGGGAATCAGACCTTGTGTGTTATTTATTCATTTTTGAGTTTATTTGGAGATATACTGGCTTATTACGCAGCGACAGTTTTATGAACATAAAAGCAATTACCCTGACACCCAGTTACCAACACAAACATATGCCCTTTCTTCACCCAGCAGGCTTGACACCAACAAGTGCTGGACGCCTTACCTGTGGCCAATTAGGAGCAAATTACATGTCTCAGCTTGGATAGGGCCCCCTGTGCTTCATGCATCATTAACATGTTTGGGAGGCTGAGAAGACTGCCATGTACAGTATAGATGGCACCTGATTTAAACAAGTACCACAGGTCAGCTAATATCAAGTGGATATTTACATATAATGCAATGGGCAATACTTGTGTATGATAATGTGTATATTTACATATGTAATGTTGTTGAATAGGCATAAAATACCTCCCCTGTGCTGTCAAATCCACCAAGAGATATTGCTTAATTTCTCCACCTACATATGCTGCATAAAACTTTGGATCATAAAAGACGTTCACAGTGCAACAGATTCAGTGGTAAATTAATCATCCTAAATGAGGAGATCAGATAATCAAAATGATTGTTACATACTCAACAAGGCCAAAGGCTGAAGCACAATTGCCTCTAGACTGGAGTGTTTTAAGAGAAGGTTTAAGAGGAAATATTCTGCATTAAACTTGTGCTGGCCGTCTGGCTGTCATTGATCTTTGGGTCCTGGATGTTGACTCTGTTCTCAATTTTCAGATGAGATGAATCCTGGAAAAAATGAGTCACTTCTGGAATGATTCTCTCATGAACTTAAGTGAACCAAACATAGATGTTTGTGTTCTGAGTCAATTATCAATCAATAGAAAAAACATGCAGTTTGTGGACATTCCCATATGGATATCTGAGTGGACCAGAGATATTTTAAGAGACCACCTCTTTTTGAATGTTCCCAAGGACTACAGAAACTTTGAATAATCTGCACTGATTGAGCTGTCTTTTTGTGACTAATGATCTTATTCTCCTTTTTTGATCCCTCTCTCCTTCCCAACCCATTTTCCACCTCTCCCTCACAGTGAGCGAGGGGAACACCTCCGGAGGCACTCCTTCAGTGGAGGAATGGGTGACATTGTAGACCCTCTCCTCCTCTCCTGTCCTACTCCTGGCCCTACCCAGCGAGGTCACCACACTCCCTGGACCCCACTCTCCAAAGACAATCTCAAATACCGCCCTGATGGTTACTACAACCAGGAGGAGCCCCTCAACTACTGCAAGTCTTCGATGGCTCCCCATAAAGGCATCAGCCCAGGCCTGGGCGGTGGCTGGCCTCTTCGGCCAAATTCAGGTCCCCTCAGAGCAGGCCAGGGTGTCGGCTACATACCTTCTAACCGCTTGAATAAAGCTGGCCAGTACGGGAAGCCATACCGCCTCTCCCCCAGCTGCCACAGCAGCAGAGGTGGTGAGGTGTTTGTCTCTAAGCTCTACGGGAGCGTCCAGATTCCCACAGACCCAGATGCCTACTGCGTGGACCTGGTGAAGAGCGAGAACGGCTACGGAGAATGCTACGATGGCCATCTGATGCCCGACATGGCTCCCATCAAGGTGGAGCACGACTCAGACTCTGAGAATGGCTGCGATGCCTACGGGCGACCCTGGGCTTGCCGCGACCCAGAGGCCATTGACCGTCGCTATGGTAACGGGGTATACGACCAGAGCTCAGGCCTCCATCTCAAATCAGAGGCAGATTATTATGATCCAGAGTACTCGCCCTGTCAGCGAGGGAAAGCAGGAATCAGCCCACCGTACAACAACAGCAACTATCAGAACTATGCAGTCAACAACAGCGGCAACACACCCGGACGTCTGTTAAAATGTGACAAAGCCATGGGCAATAACAATGACAACACCCAGTTTAGTCCTCAGAGACTCTCTCACTCAGACTCTCTATGCAGCAACCAATCTGTCAACCTCATGGACTCGCATGTCTACGACCCTCACAAAGCCTACATGCACCAGGACTACAACAAGCACGACGCCTATGAGTTCAAAGGTCATGGCCTGATCCACTCGATCAAGCGAGAGCCCATAGACTCCCCACCGTGGCCCGAGAGCGGTCACGACATAAGCCAGTCCATGATGGTTGGTCCTAGGAACGTTATGCCATGTGTGATGAGCACAGGGCACCACAAGTCCAGTCCCTACATTTATATGCCGTAAGAGTGATTGGTGCGAACACATCAGATATTTACCTGTCCCCAACCCTCCGCCCCACTCCCCACCCTCCACACAAGCAAGCAATCAGTGTGCATTAAAGTACTTTCTATTGCGCCACATGCACCAGCATTACAAAAGGACAGTCTTTGAATACAAGGATTCCCAGGATGTCAACATTTATATTACTTCTTCTATTTGATGAAGAGGTCACAAACAAGGCTCAGGTTCTAGTGTTAGTGTTGTGACAATCAAAAATAATACTTTTAATCCAATTTATGGATAGATGATTTAGTTTTTAAGGAATACATTTTGTAGTTGGTTCCAAGCACTTTTGGATTTAGTGACAATGAGACAAATTACGTCTAGAAACACAATTTCATTTTGTTTTATGTGTTGTGTACACGTGGCTTTTGTGGCAAAGATTTTGCTGTAAAAAATACTTTTTTTAAAAATGTTGTACACAGGAGATGACTCACACTTAACTACTGGGCTTATCAAGGGAGATGGGTGATTATGAGAGCACACTTAGCAGTCATTGATATCAACTTAAAGGATGATCTGCCTTGATGGTGGTTTCCCATGTTTAAAAGCTTTACCTATACATCACCTACCTTTTTCAATACTGCCTCCAGTGATGTCTGATGGAAACTACTGGTTTCTATGCATTTTACATAGACTTCAAAACTTAATCAATTGCCATAAAAAATAATTACTTGGTAAACGTTATATAATTATCGCAACATAACATGTTTGCAACCATCATTCCTACAGTAAAGGACTCTGATATCTAATACTGAGCAGCTGTGGAAAAGCAGTTTTTATTGCATGAAAACCAAATTCACATTATCTTTTTCACAACATCCCTGTTTACTCAATCTTTGTATTTTGAATTAGATTTTTCAAGACCATAGCTTACAATGCAATGCTTTTGTCAGAGCATCCTTGAATTCACCATTACAGGCCTTTATTTATTTAAAAAAAAAAAATTGTATCTCCTTGCAAATGCAGAATCCATTGAAAAACTTGACAGTAATGTAAAGTTTATGCAATTTCAAGTTAATGGACCAAAACATGTGAAAACTATTAGTACGGCCAAAGCTTTAAGCAGCCCATATTCACTACATTGCCCGCTTACACACATAAAGGCATTATATAAGAAGGGGTAATAAACCCTTAACCACAAACCATTGGTTCAAGCATGTGTCCTGCCTGAAGCATTTTTTTAGCAAGGTACTGAATCCTAACATGATCTGCAGGGGGCCACTCTGTCCCTGCTCGTTGGCTTTAAACTCCTTGTGGAAGGGATAAAAGGAAAAGTGAAATTCAGTGAGCATAATAAAAAGCATAAGGATGTTGATGGCAAAACTGATTTAACTATAAATCACAATTACGATTCTACAGCATTATATTTGCATCAACTCATCATCATCATCATCATCATCATCTCAACTCAGATCACACCAGAATTGACCTTAAATTTGCAAGACGAACTAAAAAATGACTATATTAATTATTAGTTAAAGGTTTTTTCTGGACAAAGTTAAAGTGTTAGTTTGAACTGAAGGAAAAGTAGGCAGTGTTGTTAAATGGTTCGATGTTAATTCTAATTTCAATGAGCAGAATAATTTCATAATCCTAAATCATAACTCCTGTTGAAAGTACAAATATTATGTCATTTTATGTCAACGTTAATGTTGTATAGTGTGGATTACATTGAAATGCTTTTCAACACAATGCAGCCTATCTCACTGCAGATACCACACATTTCCTTTGAAATGAATATACACTTTTAATATCGTCTTTTCAGTCCAAAAACATCAGACAATGTCTTCACAATCAGTATTTTTGCACAATGTTATTAAAAGCACCAAATTGATTCAATGTCAGAGTCTCAGTTCTGTGAAGCTGCTGTGGTAGTTTCTAAATTGCACTACTGGGAGCAGTTCAGTTGAAGTTCAGACTAGCCAGACAAGTTTTTGAGTCGACATGCACAACTGTACATGGTGTCACTGTTTTGAATTTGTCTTTTTCTCTTTGTGTGTGTTCATTTCAATAAATGTTTGATGATTCGTATTTATTGAAAGGCAAAAGTACATAATTTAAAAACTACAATTTTGAAGGCTTTTCTGTTTCACCTAGGTAAATAAACATGGCTTTTTTTTGTCTCACGGAGGAGGTAGCTGCAAGGTAGCGAACACAGTGTATATATGCAGTGTCTTCCATTGTTTCTACGTGTTTTTGCAAATGGGACTTATCTATTAAAATACTTTTCTTTATATGGAAGATCTGGGTGAAGTGCTGTTCTTTTGCCATTAGGCACATAATAAACAAATACTAAACTGCCAGCTTGGTGGGCGAGTAACATGAACATGTCACATGTGATGACATTCTGGACAATCACAAAAAACATATCCAGAGCAATCAGATTACAGACAATTAGTTACTTAGAATATGAATATTACACAGCAATAAATGAGTGAAAGCACACAGCAACATGTAGTTTGTGGCTTTATGAAAGAAACACAGCAGGATCCACTTGACTAAACCAGATGTTGCAGTTTTCAAAAGCTTGGTACAATGTTCAATGGACTTTGTCATAGTATAAAAATATATATTGATACACCAGAATATCATAGAGCTCAAATTTATGGGAAATTATGTACAACATGGTCACTCTATTAATATAATGGTTTCTTGCTCTCATAACTTTTCCAGAATGAAAAATGGCCACATTCTGTTGTTCAGTTAACGCCCTTGTCTCTTTAGTAGCTTCTGAATTTTTCACGTATATCAAATGTGGTCTGCATCCTTCAGATTTGTGTCTCTATTAATAATAAATACTCAGCAGAACAGAATACAGAGTATCTCTAGCCACATTGCTTGTATGATTAATGTGCTGTAAAGCTGGCATGACAGCTCCTTCACACGATCTGGGAAACTTAACACTAGTCTCTTACTGCTGTCTGGGACATGTTCTAAAGCCAGGGGAATGTTGGCATCCACAGAGGGGTAGATGGCATGAAGAGAGGCAGGGGACAGGAAGATTAAGAGATGTAACCTAAAAGCTGTGGTTAAATCTTAGTCCTCAGGATTCCCAGTGGAACTGGTAGGTCTTTTTTTATTCACTTGGTAGTTAGGTTTAGAATAGTCCCTGAACATTCATTGTCTTTATTATCCCATGTTTCTCCCTCTGAACACTGGAGCAATAACAAAATTACTCAGTTTGGATTACAGTTCGTAGCATTTTTCAAACCCTTCTCCAAAATTTAATTGCATTGTGACAGTGACAATAAGGTAAATGATCACCCACCCTTATAGGTAGATCATACACATTTTTCTACACAGTAATAAAAATGAAGTGTATGCAGATTCATTTATTAATGGTCTTTGGCCTAATTTGCTTATATGATATTTAAATTAGATCAAAATAAACTTCTCTAGTCATGTGATTGCAAATAATAGGACACAAAACATGGGTTTATAAATAGAGAAAATGCAGTTTACTAAACAGTGGGTGATAATTACCACACCTAAACATGGAAACTACGCATTAAGAGTAATAACTGGATTTACCACAGGAATAGCTGCTGCAGGACTAGTGCTCTGTTGTGCAACATTATTTGGCATAGTGGCCACATTCAAAACCGCAAGTTATATGACACCCTGGGACTGGGAAAACTGTAAAACTAAGAAACAAGATCCACAGAAAATAAGCATGATTTGAATTGAGAGAAATTCTTTTTGTCCTGCTAGGGTAAAAAGCTAGCCAAAGCTAGGGTAGGCAACATTGGCATAACTAGCTTGAAGCAGCTAGATTTTAGTATCCAACTGAAAAAACACCAACCCACTCCCTTTTAGCCACCCTCCAGAGACGAATCGGCCCGAATTAAATGATTGGCCATGCTTATTACAGTCCTGCAACAGCCACAGATACCAGACTTTTTTATTATTGTGTCAGGGCATTTGATTTATTGATTGTTGCCAGGATGTAAAGACAATTTCAACAAATCCAACAAAAAATGCTTCTGAAATAAATTGCCATCCCCTCGCCTTGAGATTACTTTTTTGCCGTTACAGATACAGAATTCAGATTTTGTATAATATTGTACTCTGTGCAGCCATGAGCTCTTGATTTTATGTGGCCGTTACCTCACTGGTTTGCTCTGATTTGAAGGAACAAGCCTCTTCTACTAATTCCACAGCTATGGTCATTCCTCTCTCTACTCCCTCGCAGAAGCTTGTGTTTATTTAGCAGGCAGCATAGTTTAAAGGGAATTACCGGATACACAAGGATCAGTTAGTGGTGGGATTTTACTTAATGGGATGATTGGATTGGATGATGAGTGTATGTACGTGTGTGTCTGTGTGTGTGTGTGTGTGTGTGTTTGCATGCTTGTATATCCAGTAAGTACCAGATAACCAAATATTATTATTTGTTTGCGAACAGACTACTAATGAAATTACCAGAAATCCTGTTATGATCTTTAACTAATATTATTCACCATGTGTTTCAGGACCAACATTCAGACACAGTACAGGTTCATTGTATCACCTTGTTGTTGTTGTTTTTTAAGTATTAGGCTTTTTGATTAATTTATTACTATCCTCTTCAGCACCATGCAATATAACTCATAAACCCTGAACAAAAAAGATACTGGAAAATAATAATCTCGTGTAAATACAATGTGCTTAATAATGCATGAAACTTTTCTGTCAACAATTCAGTCAAAAAATATTTTTTTTATTCCAACAGTTGTGGATTTACAATAGCTGAAGGTTCACATCCTGCCTCAAAAACCACATAAGTCACTTGTGCACATTGTTTATAATGGAAGTCCATGTTGGTCAACGTGTGTCAGTGTGTTGAATTCTATATACATATATTATTGTCAAAAGATGAATGGTATCGTCAAAGCTAGTATTTCTCCATTTTAAACTACACTTCCCATACAGCAACCCTTGTTAATTCCTCTGGTGAACTGTATTTTGCTAATTTACTATTTAACACGTTATACAATGGCCTTTGATATTTTGTACAACCATGTATACCCAGACAGTTGTACAGAAGAACTTTTCTCTTCCTCTTGTCTTAACACATGCACTATGCAATTAAGACCATACTTCCTCCTCTAGTTGTGGTCCTGAGATGAAACACTGCATTCAGTTGTTTGTGCCTTCAATTGAACAAGGTCTTGTATTGTCCTTGTATTGTATAGTATTTCATCTTAAGAGGGAGTTTCTAAAGATTCCCTTTAACTTGTAACGTTTGCATGCAGCGCTGTAGGGCTTATTGTGACAGGTTAGCCAGAACATTTTTGAGATTCAGTACTTGGCAGTTGGTAAGGAGTAGGAAAATACAGTTGAGGAGGGATATTAAAAGCTAAATGATGTTCATAACATACAGTAATAATCCATGAATAATCCATGGACAGCACTGTATGGTTTATAGCTCTGGCTCTGAAAATACTCTTTAAAGGAACTTACATTTTCTGTTTTACAGGAAGAAGTCATTTCTGTTTTGCTAACTAGACTTGCACTCAATCAATGATTATTAAAAGGTATAATGGAATATACACACCAAGTAGTAGTAGTAGTAGTGCCTTTCTGTGGCCTTACTGGGATCAAGCTCTATCACATCAGTTACATATGCAATTGTGTCTCTCTCTTGTACGTACACACACACACATACACACAGCTCTCTTGAGTAATAACTAAGTCGATACAGTGAGTAGCATCTCTATCTTTTCCCCAAAGGAGTACTTTGCTTTTGTCTCACTGTAGTTTCATGACTGATGATGTGACGATGGGGGGGGGGTTATGACGCTGACTTTAAATGATTTATACTTGTCCGCATGCACGCAAGCTTCCATCACGCCATCTGTATGACACTTGTTCTGTACAGGGAGGAGAAAGAGTGAGAATGACAAAGAAAGAGACAGAGACACAGAGAGAGAGAGAGAGGTGGAGAGACAAAACCTGGAGGTGAGAAGTTAGCATGGGAAGGGGGTGTAAACAATGAAAAGAGCACATCCAATCAAGAGAGAGGAGTGACCGCTTAGGGCAACTGTAATGTAGGCAAAGTGTTTGATGCTTGTTGACAGCTGTAAGGGGGAGAGAGTACGTGTCTGTGTGTGTGTGTATGTGTGTGCAAATCAAGACCTATAATCCTATACCATGCAAGGTTGCGTGACCGTTCATACCCCACTCTTTGCTTTTCTGCACACCATATGCTCTAATTGGTCACGCCCACTCTGTGTCTTTCTCACACACACTAATACACACTCATATTAGCAGATGCACTTATGCACATATAGACACAACAATGTCCGCATCTCCTCTACCCGTATCCCCTGGTGACAACAAGGACAATCCTTGAGGTTATGTCCCACAAACGCATGTACATACACATATGCATGCACATTGTCATGCACATATACACACACCCTACTAAGCATGTGGAAGTCACGCAATCCCCCGCCCATAGCCCCCACAACCTTGCCACTTCTTGCTTTGTGAGTACAATTAGCTAATGAACAATAAACAGTACCTTGTCTTATTGTCTTTAGTATCAATGCCTCTAAAACAGTGGTTGCCAACCGTTTCTGTCTGATGATTTAAATTGGATGTTATTTAAAACTATTGATTGTATAAAGGCGGGGTGTGGCAATTATTTCACATAACTGAACTCTCAGTGTTTAGGTCTTTGTTCAGGTTTTTATTTGTAGGCTACGACCACCACTTGAAAGTCAGACATTTCAACCATTTACCCAGTACTTTTAGCTATTTATTCCGGAAGTTAGGTAAGTAAGCTATTTTAACCCTTTATCTAGCACCATTTTCCCTTGAGCATATCTATGCTCCCAGGGTCATAGTATGTTCCCCAGTTCAATATCCTCTGAATATGACACACTGAGGATATATTTCAAAGGGTTTTATGCTCTCTTTCCCTAGTTCAAATGTTTAGTATTTTTTCCCAGCCGGGTCAAAATATTGAAATCACCCACTTACAGCTTATGAAGCTTACTGATGTTATACTCCTTAAACCTACACCCTCAAATATGCAGACTATACAGTTTTCTTGACTTAAGACATTGATATCTCCACAGTAACTAATTAGATTTTTACTATTCAAACAGCATTTGAAATGTCCATCTCCCTACTTTCTTTTGCAATTTGAACTGTGAAGATAGCCCTTTTTAATTTACTATTTAAACTGTTTATCCATTACTTTTAGCTATCTGAATGATCTATGAATTTTTAATGTTGTTAACCTTTTATCCATTACTTTTAGCTATTATCCATTTATCCATGATACAGTTCATTGACCTAACCCTTTGAACATATTTATTCATTACTTTTAGCCATTTATTTGAATAATTAAACCATTTATTTTAGCTATCTGTTCTGCTTCTCTACAATCTTGCTAACTACTTTAAAATCACACTCAATCACTACATGTTCAGGTGTTACACCTGATCAGTATTATCAGAATATATGTTGATATTATGTAGGCTATTTTAAGAACTGCAATTTATATTTTGTCAAATAAACTGAGCCACTTTAAAATCTTTCCAAGTACCCCCAGGCAACTGCAGAGATACCTTCTGGGGTACAAGTATCAAGTAAAAGTATAAAAGTAAGTAACATTAAAGGAAGGAAGTGGAAGGGGAAAAAAACATTCAACATTCATAGCTATTTTTCAGTCCCAGGGATTTAAAAGTAAAATGCTGAATGTGATGGTATTCAGTAGGATGCAGTGTTAAAATTAAATAATATATGTGCCCAGGGGCAACTAGCCAGTTGAAAGGTTACTGAGTGCAACCTAGTGATTCATAAACTAGATATGCAGGCTGCAGCTGACCGTGAGTCATACACACATGCACGCACATACACAACACACAAGCAAACTCTTTCACTCACACAGAGACACAAACTGCTTTACGAAAAAGGTCTCAAGAAAGCCACTCAACCCTAACTACTGTGTATTTCAATTCTTTTACACAAACACATGCATCCACGCCACACGTACATACATGTTATTATTATTATAGACACAAGTAATCTCGTGGAGAAGTGCCAGCAATCATGTTCAGAACCTACAGGACTAAAGTGAATGCTCTAATAGTTTCCATGTGAGATTACGGGGAGTACGGTGAGATTATGGAGCCACTGCCAGCACTGTTTGTATTGGTTGTGTTCATGCTCCAGATGACTGATTAATCTAGAGGGTTACTTGAGGATAGATGCTCAAACTGTCTTCTGCTGGCGAATGCTTCCACCTTCTGGTCTGAACTGCACACTGCACATCTTTTCGCATGAATGTTGAAGCCATGGCTGAAACTGACATAGACAAATGACAGCAGTTGCTACAGAACAGAATGATTCTGTATCTGTACTTAGCTGATCTGAATAGAAGATAATATCCTGCTCTGTAATCACATATTAGTTTAAGTAATCAGTATTCCTTTGGTTCACCTGTAGCCAAATTAGAGTAGTTCTCCACTTACATCCCAATGGGATTCACAGGAATGCTTTTAGTTTCCATTTCATTGTATACGTTATTGGACCAGAGTGGTGAGTTACAAAAGTATAAACTGTTGAATCTAAACTTAACCCTAACCCACAAGCATTCCTTTGTCAAATTGTTAACATTGTCTTCTTATTCAGCACTAGAATATGTGATGTGTGATGACTATTTGTCTGTATAACACAGATGATGATAATTTTGTTTTGTCTTTGACAAATATTGGATAAAAATGTAAAGATTATCTCTACTATTATAAATGAAGCAACCAATTGCCATGGGTGTCAGTGCCTCAAGTCATAACAAAGAGAGCAACTGTATCAATGATTGTTGAATTTTTCTGCCACACTCAAGCACAAAAAAATAAATTTTCACAACGTTTGAATTTTATGCAAAGTTTCATGAGTTTTCGAGCTTGTTTAGACCACCAAAAGAAAAGAAAGAAGAAAAAAGAATTCCTTCAGTTTCAACAGGGTCCTTGCATGTTTCATGTTCAGGCCCTTAAAATAAAACAGTGTCATGTCCCTTTAATACCTACAGGGGAGCTCATGCTCCATCCAGGTCCCGGGGTTGACATCATCGTACTGAGACTAGAGGGGCCCACTCGCTGTCAGGGCAGACCGGTGGCGCACATGCACAGTTCAACCGTACGTTCTGTCCGCTATTTCTCAGGGGTACAGAACACACTTCGCTATGAAACCACCCAGATTCAACTGTGTTAGGGTCAGTGGCCTAGGAGGTGTGGAAGTACAACGACTTCCCCGAGTTGGTTGATGGAAAAGGACTTAGAGGAGATGAGAGATCAGATTCAAACCACACCTTTATTGAGACAGATATATCTGGAGACCCTTCCTGTACGCTACCTAAGTCAGGGTCTGACTACTCTTCCACTGTGTATATGTTGATGAGACATCACCCAGCTGCACATCCCATGTTACCTTATATGGAAGTTGTCAATAGGTGTAGAATATTTCTAGTGTGCCTTAAGGGCTGTCATGTGAGTGTGTGTGTGTGTGTGTGTGTGTGACTGTATTAAGAAAAGTGTGAAGTGTGTCAGAGTGTATTATTGTCAGGGCCCGGGTTTCCTGTTATTCAGCATAAGCTTCTATCTGTCTTAACTGCTGAGTTACCTAAGATAAGCATGTCACACAATATTGAGTATCATAAGTGCAATCATAAGTAATAAGTAAGCATATAAGAGAATCATATCATGCAATATCACTGTAGGGTTGTGTTGTATATCCACAATTTCCCCCTTTTGATCTCTTTTAAGAGAACACTCCTCAAATTGGAGTTGATCCACCTGGTGCTTATCATCAGCTAACAGGGGCATCATATGCATGTGCTGACCATCTCTCTTCTCCACACCAGTGGTGATCACCCTTTGGATCAAATCACGAATACAAGGAATACAACAACAACCACATGTAACTAAAATAGCCATAAAAGTAGCAAATGATAACAATTCCCACTGATAACCCCCCCAACAGCGTAGGATTTCCCCACATCCCCATTTTAACACTCCTCTCTTTGGTTCTAGTTCTAGAAACTCTGAACTAGGAAACCTCCTGAGCACTACTACGCTGCTGCAGTCTTCTTCCTGGATGTGGATCTCCTTCTGCTGATCTTCTTTCTTCAGTCTCAGGGGTAGACTACCCTGAGACCCTTAACACAGACCAGGGGATTATTCTGCCCCTATGTTGAGGTCTGGTTTCTTTCTGACTCGTCCGAGTCAGTGTTCTGTGCTTGGTTGTGCAGGTCCTTCTGCACCTCTGTTAGGGACCTCATTGGTTCTGGTGCTGCTGCACACTGGCTCCAATGGTACCACGTGTCACCTTTTCCCTTGAGTCTCACTGCATGAGATGTTCTTTCCACCACCTGGAATGGTCCTGTCCACCTTGGCTCCGACCACTTCCGTTTTATCACATTCAGCAGCACCCAGTCAGCTTGTGGCACTGTGTACTGCTTCCCGTGTGTGCCTCTCTCACCCACCTGGTTGGAGAAACCTGAAACGAGAGCTTGCAGTTCATTAAAATATGCTCTGAGGGAAACCTCATTTTCAAACCCTTCTTGCATTTTCAGTTCAGCTCCTGGGCCTGGAAACTGCCTCCCTGTCAGTAACTCATAGGGAGTAAACCCTGTTTTCTGGTTCACAGAGCTCCTTACTGACATCAGAGCTAGTGGTAGTGCATCCACCCAGTTTAATTTCGCCTGTGCACAGATTTTAGCCAATTTACCTTTAATGTTCTGGTTCACTCTCTCAACCCTTCCCTGTGACTGTGGGTGATACACTGTACCAAATGCATGCTTCAACCCCAACATTGTCTCCACCTGCTGGAGATGTGTGTTCTTGAAATGTGTACCATTGTCAGATCTGATTTTTTCAGGAAACCCGTGTCCTGGAATGTAGTGATTAATCAGACATTTAATCACCGATTTGCTGTCTTCCTTTTTTGTAGGCCACGCCTCTGGCCACCCTGTGAAGGTGTCAGCGCACATCAATACGTACCTGTACACCCTCACGGTGTCCACCATGTCTGTGTAACCAATGGAAATTTCATGCCCTGGCCTAGTGATCATTGGAAATGCACCCATTTCCGGTTTCACTGTTGGCCTTGGATTATACACCATACATACCTGACACCTTCGCATGAACTCCTTTGTCATATCTGTCAGATATGGATGCCACCAATGGCACAAATGCCTGTTCATCTGAGCGGGACCAGCATGTCCTACTCCTTGAGCCTCTTCCAGTACCTTCTGTCTGATGGTAGGGGGAAGAACTAATCTCCTATCTGGTCCTCTCCAGAGACCACCTGTATCTGTCGCTCCTCTTTGTTTCCACACTGTTTTCTCCTGTGGAGAGGCCTTTTGCTGACACCGTTTGATACGTTCCTCAGTGAGGCTCGTGTGTTGTTGCACTTCCTCCTCTGTGCTTATCATTTGTAGTGAGGGGGAATATCCCACCACTTGCTTAGCAGCCTGGTCTGCTGCTTGATTTCCTTTGGCCACTGGTGTGTTTGTGGTGTCATGACCCTTTACACTTGACAATTGCTACCTCACTCGGGAGGAGCAATGCCTCTGCTAGTTCCTTCATTTCCTCTTCATGTCTGATTGGTTTATTTCCAGCAGTGAGAAACCCTGCTCTTTTCCATTGTCCCAGTTGTAGATGTGCTGCTCCTGCTGCATAGGCTGAGTCAGTGTAGATGGTTATCTTTTTTTCTTCCCCTTGCTTCAGTGACTCTATTACTGCTCTGACCTCTGCCCTTTGCGCTGACTGCTGTCCCTTCAACCTTTCTGCCTTCACTGTTCTGTATGTATGCCCCTCTCGTCTGACTACTGCATATCCTGCCCTCAGTCCTTCTGTTTCATGTCTAAAACAGCAACCATCTGTGAACAGTTCTTCTGAGCCTTGTAGTGGCTGTGCCTGCAAATCTGGCCTCACTTTTTCCTCTTTGGTCACTTCCTGTTCGCACATGTGAGGAGTCCCTACTCCTATTCTGTCTGCCATATTAATCCCTTCATGAGTAAACCTCAAATTTGGTGCCTCTAGCACCTTACTCAGTCGCTGCTGTCTTAGTGATGTCATTTTAAAAATCTGTGAGTTGACATACGAGACTACATTATGTGATGTGAGTACCTGTAGTGGATGTCCCATGACTATGTGTGCTGTTTTCAAAATGATTTTTGCTACCCCTGCCGCATGTTGAGTACACCTGGGATGTCGTTTTTCCATGGCATCTAGCATTACGCTGATGTACATAAGCACCCTTCTCTCTCTCCCTTTTTTCTGAAACAGAACGCCATTCACCACTCCCCCTGTTTCAGAAACATCAAGATGAAATGGAATGGAGTTATCTGGTAATGTGAGATCGGCTGCTTGAGCCAGTTTCTGTTTAAGGGAGATGAACGCATCTTCTGCCTCTTTTGTCCAGTTTAGCCGATCATTAATGTTACACATGCCCTGTTCTTTCACCAAGTCCCTCAGCACCTGAGTCAGGCCAGTGTAGCTGGGGATGTAGATGCGACTATATCCTGTTAATCCCAGAAAAGAGAGCATTTCTTTAACCACCTGTGGCTGGGAGTGATGCAAAATGGTGGACCTTTGTGCCGAAGATAGTCCCGCCCCTTTTTGTGACAATGTGCGCCCTAAAAAAGATACTTGCGTCCGCTCCAACTGCAGTTTGTCTTTACTGACTTTAAACCCTTTGTCAGAGAGTCTCTACAACATGGACCTGGTAGCCTGCAAACAAGCAGATGGCGAGGGAGCGGCCAACAGGAGATCGTCCACGTATTGCAGCAGTGTCACAACTGGTGGCTAGGGACAGCCTGCTAATGCCTCTTTAAGAAACTGGTTGAATATTCCAGGGGATAAAGCGAACCCTTGTGGCAAATGAGCGTAACGCCATTGTTGACCTTTGTGAGTAAAGGAAAAGATGTCTCTACACGAGTCAGCCAAAGGCACGCAGAAAAAAGCTTTGGCAAGATCAATGCAAGTGAACCATTTTTGTTTAGGAGAGAGGTTATTCAGTGCCACATAGGGGTTGGGAACTGGAATGGTGGGGGTGGTAAGAATCAAATTGATGGATCTCAGATCATGTGCCATGCGATATTTACCTGTTCCGTGTTTTTCAACGGGCAGAATGGGAGTGTTCCAGGCTGACTGTGAAGGTTCCAACACCCCTGACATTATCAATCCTTCAATGGTCTGAGCAATCCCCTCCTCTGCAGCAGGTTTGTGTGGTTCGAGGAGGGTGATCCATTTTTTCCCCTGGAGATAGAAGCTCATCGGGTTCCCTTTTTCTGGAGCCCCAATAGATGTCAGCTGTGTGAGCCTGCAAAGGTTGTAACAACCATTGTCCAGTCTGAGGGTATCCACATCGAAATTGAGTTCCATCTGGTAGGGTAACTACCAGTCCATCAGCGCTGCACAGGATGGTGGCTCCTAGTTTTATCAGGAGGTCTTTCCCCAGTAGGTTTACAGGGACTGTAGGGGACACCACAAATGGATGAAGCAAGCATTGGTGTCCCAATTGTGTTGTCAGCGGTTCGGTCACTGGCAGTTTCTGTCCTACCCCAGAGATACCTACAACCTCCACGGTGTCATTGGAGATTTGGTCACGTGGTGGGGTCTCTGCGTAGCTCCCTGACTCCCTTGGTGGTTAGTTGGATTTTGCGGGCAGTTTCTAGCCCAATGGGAGGTGTTTCCACATATGAAACATCCTCCATACCCTCCTCCTCCTCGTGGTGCCCGCTGGAATCCACCTCTACCTCTCCCCCTTCCACGACCACCTCTGTTTCCCCCCCTGGGAGGTCCCCATGACTGTTAGTTCCACCCTCGATTCTGAGAGGGATGGTGTGGATCCACCCACGTTGGGATTGGATATAAATCTGGAGTATGTGGGTCAGTAGGTGGAGCTCCAGCCACCAATTGCTTATTAGGGCCCTTCTTTTTCTCATTTACCTCCTGTCTCGCCCTCCCCAGCTGCAGCTTCAGTAGCTGTGTCTGTAACTCTTTTATCTCATTCTATTTTCCTTCCTCCTGGTCCTTTGTCGCTGCAGATTGTGTACTACGTGTCTTTCCCACACCTGTGGCTCACTTCCTGGAAGGTCTGGGTTGCTCAACATGGCTTCTTTAACTGAGTTTGGCACTCCCTCCAGTACTGCTCTGCGGAACCACTCCTGCTGGACTCCACTGTGGCCATGGTGGCATGTTTTTTTGTCCATATTTCTTTACATTGATCTAAATAGTCTCGGGGATTTTGGCCTGGCTTCCATGGGAGTTTGGGGACCGTAGCTGCATTCGGCAAGGGAAATCTCTCTCTCATAGCTCTCCCTATTTTAGTCACTACTGCCATAAATGGCTTGTTATCTGGCTCATGCTCAGTCCCTGCATCTTCCTCTAACTCCCTCATTACATCTCCTGGCAGGCACCTGGCTGCTACAGCTCTCCAGTAACCTAAAGCTAGCCTCTGACCTGCTGTAAGCTTATCTAACTGATCTAACCATAAACCTCCCCCTTCCGCTACTGGGGGCATTTTGTCTACCAGTGCCTGTACATCCCCTAGTGCCCAAGGTTTGTATTTTTCCCTATATCCTCCCCCTAACTGGACCAGTGGCATAACGTCTATGACTGCCTGCGCTCCCTTAATTCTTTTGTGTGTTTTCTCCTCTGCTCTATCTCGTCCAGCTTTTCCTTTGCTCCTTTGTTTCTCCCTAGAATCCTGTAGTAAGGCTTGTACTTCCTCACTTATATGTTCTATCCCTGTGTTCGTTGGACTCTGGTAGGTGTGTCCATCGGCTTCCCCTGCAGCCTCCCCAAACAACTCTGCGACTGTCAGTATTAGAGAGCCTGTCCCCTCACCTTCCTCCTCAGCACTATCCTCATCCTCTGGTTCCCTGTCCTCTGTATCCATGTCCACGACAGTTTCATCCTTCTTCCAGATTCCGGACAATTGGCCCCATATCTCCGCTCTGTGTGTTGGGTCTCTTCTCCTTTGCTGGGGCTTCTTCAGCCCCTCTTCTCTTCGTGCTCGAGCCTAAAATGGTTGATAGTCTCGTTCTTTTTGGGGTTTCTCTTCTCTTCCCAGTCTCCCTCTCCAACTTTGGCATCGATGATCCTTGAGTTTGATGCTGTGGTTTGGTTTCTACCCTAAACTTACCTCCAGAAACCTCCAATACCGGGTAGATACTCACCGGAGGAGCTGTGGGTTCTGTGGGACCGGCATAGGGTGGTGGTAGACCTTTTGTTTCTCTTTTGTTTCTCCTGTGCGTCCACCGTGAGGGTGAACCACTCCTTTCTCTCCTTATCCATTTTCTCCACTTCAGCTCTGCACTTTCTCTTTTGCAACAAACTTGCAGTCAACACAGAGTGTAGAGACCACTTACCTTCCTCCCCCTTGGGGACCTCTGCTACTGCACTCTCCATTCGGCGTTTCGCGTCCTCTTTTTGCTTTTGTTTATCTTTAGGTTTACTTCTGTTGCTTGTTACCAACAACACATTATCAATTTGCTCCCCCCACGGCTTCCACGAGCCCCAACCTCCATCATCAATTTCTCTATCAAATTCTCCGTCCATCCTGACCCTGCCTAACGTGTGTACCAGCCAGTCAGTTTGTATGGAATTCACTCGAGCAACTAACCTAATCAAACAGTAGTTCTCACTCCCTGTCTCAGTTCACTTCAGTTGTCACTGTTAGGTTTCTGTGAACAAAGTGGAGGCTTTTCCTGTTTGAGACACTGATGCACAAAAATATCCCTTGGAGAATATCACTCACACTCACATTCACTCTTCCGTTCGTTCACACGTAGCGTGCTGAGGTCCCAGATCTCTACTTTAATTTAACTTGTGAGAGCCTAAACCACGATGCTTGGAAAGTCCAACTATCCGGGCCTTCCACCCTTGACACTTCGGGAGTCCTGAATTCCCCGGGACTCAAACCCAGCTTCGGTATTCCAAACAGAGCACTCTTCTTTTCCAGAAAGTGAGGAGACTGGAGACGCCACTCTCAAGGACAAAAAAATTGTATAATCACCTAAACAGTCTTTTCGTTGGATTGGAAATTTGGATCCTAAACCATAACAATTTGTACAGTTCCCGAAACAGTATTTTCTCACAAAATTTGAATGTCACCTAAACCGTCTGTCTCTCTCTCTATTTTGGCACTTCACAGTCAGGACTCTCTCAACTCTACACCATGAGGACGAAATAGCATCCCTGCTAAATAAACAAGTAATCTGAGCCATCCCGGGCAAGGAAGCTGTGGTGTCCGATCAATAATGCTGCGATGATGTGTTGAGAAGAAATCCGCTTGACACTGTTCTTGATCATAAAAGTTTTACATCAAGGAGTTCAGCATCAATTACAAGCTCTGCAGCAGCTTGGAGAGTGACCCAACCTGATGGCCACTCTGTCTCTCTGTACATCAAACACAGCTTATATAGGACATGTTTAGGTATCTGCTAAATACCCTATAAGGGTCAGAGTCTGCAAACTAAGGCACCAATCCATATAAGAGCAAAGTTCTATAGGATAAGTGTAGACACTTGCTGGACACCAGATAAGGGTCTGAGCCTCCACGTAACCACTGACCTCTACTCTCCCCTTAAAGGTCACTAATCCTCTATCCAGCTGCTACAGTGCTATGTTAAACTGTTATGCGTCAAATGCACATATGTTTACTGCCTCGATCCAAAGAAAGTGCGCTAAACAAACACTGCGTCGCACAGGGGGAGATGTCTTTCAGGGTGAACATGACAATGGACGCGTGCGTCCCTGTCACAGTGGGGGCCGACCATATCAGGCATGGTTTTTTCTGCACTTTCTCCAAGATTGCCATATCTTGGTGAAAACGCACAACTCCACCGCGGCAGTAGCATACATCAACCTTCAGGGCGGCGTGCAGTAGCACAGGTCAGCAGGCCTCACAAAGGTCTACCTACAGTGAGCGAGGATCAGCTGTTAATAGCTGGGGCTACTCCTTGTAAAGGCAAGAGATTATCTTGCCAGCAGCTGTCCCACTTAACTGGCCTGTAGGCCAGAGACTATCTCTCTGTAAGAGTTTGCAGCCCCCCCCAGGCTTTGAGGGCTCATTAGAGAGAAATATGAGCTTGTGTCAAATTGGTGAACCAAAGATTCACCAATCATATGCATCACTTTACAAATTTCTACAATAATCCTCAAGGGTGGGTTCACACCTAAAGGTCCGGTTCCTGAATCAAACCACTAAAAGGAAACTACCAATGAATATGTCATTTAAAATACTACTTATTATTATTACTGTAAATGCTGTATTGTTGTTATTTATAATATTTAATATTTATACATTTTATTCAGTTCGGGCTAAAGTTCTTGGAAATACTGAAGACACATCTGTTAAGGATAGTGCTGAAACTGGTGACGATCAGTACATACAGTCTTTAAACACATCCTCTTTAGTAAGTAATATAACCTACTGCTACATTTGTGGAACTCTTGAAGTTCACCGCATGGAGGTCCCCTCTTTGGTAGGTATTGTTCAAGGATCCAAGTGCCCTCTTGGCAATTTCTTGAAGACAATATTCTCGTTTTATTTTCACAGACTCCCATCATTGGCCTACGGTAACCCCTCCTAGTCTCTTATCATTGGCTCACGGCTAACTCTGCCCATCCTCTTATTTTGTATGTGACAGCATGTGGGAAATAACGGGTGAGGGGTTGGGGACCGTTACTTCTGGTACAACCAGATTATTATATAAAGTCTGTAGTTCCAAACTCTTGTCTCCGGCTGATAAAAATAGGTTCCTGTTTTGAAAACAAACTCTGTCTGATAAACCTAGACCGTTTTTAACAACTGGAGTCTAGGGTTATAGATAACCATAGTTAATAACTGGTCTACAAGATTACCTGAAGATGAAGAAGAAGACAAATAAAACACACAACTTGATGTGGCTAATTGAGAAAAAGGAGGGAGTGGAGGGATGGAAGGAGGTGCGGTGGGGTGGAGCACATTCCTCAATTCACCCTGCACAGCCTATGCTACACCAGAAAGAGAGAGGACAGAGAAGAAGAGACACAGACTCTAGAAGGATTAAAGTTTTAAGACTCACAAGTTTAAGACTAGGCTACAGCTTTTCACAAGAGTGATAATGATGGCAAGTTTGTAAGACAAAGCACTAGCAAAGATTTTATAAAGTTTAATTTTGGAACTCTCTCTTATTTTGCTTCATGCTGTTGAAGGTAATTTAAAATGCTGTTTAATTTAACTCACCTTTATTCCACTTTACTGCTTTACTGTAATTATTTCAATTTATTCTTTACTTGTTTAATAATAAAGACTGACTTGATTCCAAATCAATGAAGAAACCTCCTACTGATCCTTTGCTGGCCCCGCAGATTCCTCACTGCTTTATTTTTTTAAATGATAAATTTTAATTAATAAATACCTACTAGTTAATTCATTCAAGTTCATGTTTTATTACTTAATGAAGTCTTTAAATCAATGAAATGATTATCCAATTATCAGTCAAAAACACACAACGGAAGGATGTACACACCCCTCTTATCAGTTACACACACATATCCGGTATGGGGGCGGGACCGGAAGTAGCCGTCAAAATTAGTTTGATGGAATGTCATCTATATTTCTCTCTCTCTCATTCTATGAGGGGTGTTGACACTTTGCTGGCCCCGGTTCTTTGATAACAGAGTGAGTTGTTCCACCATTAGTTCCCTGCTTGCATAGACATGACAGAAATCGGTCTGAATCAACTGTGGTATTAAGAGGAGGGGTACCCCTAGCACAGCTCGACCTGTCTGTCAGTGACAGACCAGGTATTTAATCACCAGCACAAAAAACTGTGGACCCCAGCAAGAATAGCTGTTACTTCGGCAACAGCTAATGGGGATCCTACTAAATTAAATGAAACTGCGGCCCATCATGTTGCCAGAGGTACAGATAAAATGCATAAGGGTTCATAATTGCATACAATAGCTGGCTCTAATAATACTTCACTGTCTGTCCACTGCGAGTCCCCAAAAGTATCCTGCTTAGAGTTCCCAGAGGTACCGCTTATGTGGGAAATATTGAGTTGAGAAGAAGACTTTACGTTTCACTGAATATTTGATTTGTGTAGTAATAAGTACAGAAGATCCTTTAGAGGCCAAATGCCTTATTTTGCATTTAAAGGACTTCACTACCCACAATGCTCTCATAAGAGAAGGAAGAAGGCAATGTTTGTTTTTAACTTTAGACAGCTATTGTGAGCAACCAAGCTGTACCCTCATCATCATGAGCTAAGTATCACTATGTCTGATTTTAAGTCTTCATTTTGAAAGCAGTTAGACTAAGCTATATGTAACCAGCTACTCAATGGCTGGCCACTTACACATAACATGACCAGTTCAAACCTGCATGTAAGCTCTTGTTCATTACAGTCTATATTTGTTATATGCTGTTACATCCCAAGGTCTAGGGGTATCCTGGACGCAACATTCCCAAGCAATGCCAGAACAAATAAAATACAATTTAGCAGTTTTAATAGCTTCAGAGTTGAGCAGTGCCCAAAACAACAACCAAAACACTCTAATAAACCTAAAACTTTCCTAACCCAAAAAGTAAAGAAAAGACAAAGCTCTAAACTAGGCTTCTGATCTCAAAAAAGGGGGGGGGGGGGGGGGGGGTGCAAACAATAAGGGCTTCTCCCTCCTACACACTGCTAGTAGCTGACACAAGGAAGCTAAAACAAAGAAAATGGCTAAAGCCAACAAAAGAAGGTTGTCAACAACAATAAGAATAACAACGCTACGCTATTTAAACTTCAATGTGTCCACTTCATAGATTGACTTTCAAAGTCTCATCTAATCACAACAGTGCTCTACTCATGACAGACATAACACACAGTACACAGGCTCAGGTTGGGAATGGCAGAGAGAGAGAGAGAAGGGAGTGCCTGTCAGTGGGGCTTAAGATGGCTGCTGTCATCCAGGTGACCAATCAGGAGGCTCCAATCAGCTCTGCAGGACCAATCCCACCTGTTCTCTATTACCTACACACACTCTAAGGGAGAACAGCTGACGATGCAGGGAGAGAGATAAACAAAATATGTCCCCAGGGTCATAGCAATGCATAAAGGAACAGTTACATGTATTGATTGATTGATTACAAAACACCATGGACATATCTATCTGACAATGTGATTACGTCACATTATTTTCTTTGGTTAAGCAAATATATCAAGCAATGAAATAAAATGCATGTTCTGTAGAAACATAGTGCAGAGTCTTGCAACCGTCACACCTTCATATGGTATTATAGTACAGTTGGCATCTGTTCTAGTGGTTGAAAAGACATAATAGACATAAACTCTTTCAAAGGGTGTATGGTATAAGATAAACTAGACTCTAATGGTATAGCTAGGGTGTGAGGGTGCAGGAAATAGGACCATATATGTATTACAGACATAAAGTAAACCAGATCCTAAGGATGAGACTATAGGTGCAAAAGATGCAGTGCAATAACCTAATGTTCAGAAAGGCACAAGATAAACACAGAATCACTCCTGTAAGAAGTGATGCAGACAAGAAGCCACAGTTCAGAAAATCTAACACCACAGTTTTTACTCTTCATCCCGGTGTTAAAATAACATAACATTTTATAATGTTGCAATAGCAGATGTTGAGAAAACACACTGCTCTGAACAACGAAGCGTTCACTCGGGGGAGCAGTATCGGCCAGCAAAGAGAATGCTCATGGAGGGGTTATGTCGGATGAAGAAGAGGAAGGGGTGGTCTGCGGTGAAGGTGGCTGGACGGATGTAACAGCACGCCTTCATGATTGCAGCAGTGGCAGCAGCAGCCTCAGTTCCCTTCTCATTGACCTCCACGAAAGCCTTGTGGACGACTTCTGACAGTACTAGGTCATTGGCGGGAGACATGCCTGTCAGCAGAGGAAACAGAGAGAATATTTTAAATAACTATAATGCCTTGTCTCACCTTCATGACAGAAATGTAGAGCACACCGATTTAATAGAACCTCTGTATTGACTTGTTGCTCCTTTGAACTGACAGGAGCCAGTTCAGCTTTTGGTCCCTGTTCTTTTAAATGATGAATATATGTGAAATGGTCCAGACACATGTCCTACCAGAGAAGTCACTCGAAGCCATGTCGAAGGCATCCACCATGCCCATGCTGATCAGGACATTCTTCATGTCATACTTCTCCTCCATCTTGAATCGAGGCAGCCCCACCTGGACCTCAATGTTATCCATCATTTCTGGGCGCGTCCACTTCTCAAAGTTCTCATAGGTCAGCATCTTCTCCAGCTGGGGGTGGACACAAAAACAGTTATTAGTTTGTCTGCATCTTGTGCGTTTCCTTATGTGTATATGTGTGTGTCTCTGTGTCCTACCTTCTCCAGGCCTGTTGTACTGTCCTCTAATTCATTTGGTAGAAAGATGAGCATGCTGAGCTCCTTTCCTTTGTACGGCATCTCTAGGATCTGTCCAACAGAAGGTTTCAAACATTACAGCAAATATATTCTGCTCTGGCAACTGTTTGGTTACGTGTGTGTTTTAACAGGATAGTTTATGCAGTTACATACAACAAACAAAACCCTTATTAGGTAGTTAGTTTCATAGTTACAGTACAAATAAGCCTAAATCTTATCAAATCTTCTTTCATTCATATTCCATGGAAAAATGTCCTGCTTAACCTCATTAATAAAGGTAATAAATTATTGGTTGATAAAACCAAACAAATTAGTTGTTGACTGACCAGTTAACAGTCGCTTGACGGACCAACAGACATCTTGACTTGCATTCTATATTAACAGATTAATTAACCAATTTGCCTGATTACCTGGCAGTTGGCTTCAGAGATAGAGGTGAGAGGGAAGTTGGTTTCTTGATACATCATCTTCACTTGCTTAGTTTCATTCTGAAAACAGCAAACAGAAAAAAAACAAATCTTGTACACTTTGCCTTGTTGTTGCCAGTGATATAGAAGTGTAAAGCAGGATGTGGTCAGTACACTGTGACCTCTCTGTTGGCAGGGATGGGCAAAGAAATGTATTGTAAAATAATGTACCAAATTTTGCACCTTAATTTCAAGTGTATAAAAACAAACTACAAAAGCATCAGCCATGCCGTTTATTAAAATAAACTACTGTATTTCAAAAATACTTTTCCAAGGTACCATTAAATGAATTTTCTAACTTTCTATCAGCCTGATTTGATCCGTTCCTTCAGCAGTACACTGACTCAGCTGATTAAGGTGAGACACCACAGTCCAACATATCAACATACTTTCATAAAATATATAAAACAATCTTGAATAATATATATAAACATTATTATTTGTCTACATGCCACGAGCTACAGGTCGAGTAAAATTTCATCTTTGTTAGCATTAGAATCCAAGTAAAAGTCTTTTTTAACTTTCCATATTGAATCATCTATCATTTGAAGGCTTGAGCACAATGTTAGCTAGTCCATATATTAGATATCAGATAGATAGAAGAGATTTGTTCATGTGACACTTTTCCGTTTCCAACGGTTTTCTCAAAATTACGTTTCCTGTTTGCCAAGTCGTTTTCCTCACCCATAATTTTACACACTGTTTTAGGTCTTATAGCAAGACATTTAGAGATTTGTTTTTTCAAATATATTTTATCATTCTCATTTTATGTGGTATTTTATGTGTAAATGTGTGGGGGGAAAAGGTCAGTCACACATGGTTGGTGTTTTTATATAAATCCATGAAAAAAAAAAAACATATTGATAAACCCTTCAGTAAATGCCTTATATTATCAAAATAAAACAAAAAAATCCATCTGACTCTTGCCAATGTGCTGGAAAATGGGTCTGTTTGATGTACAAATCAGCGCCTATTTAATGAGGAAATGCCACAATTGCATATTAAAAATAAAAAACATAAAAAAATTTAATATCAAGCTTCTATTTACTGTATTTTTACTTTATGCATGTAAAGCTTCATTGTGATACACGTAAAATTGGGGAAAAAACTATTTGACTGCGGTGTCTCGCCTTAAGTGGACATTGTTTGAAAGGAACAGCTTTTTTCTGCTTAATGAGTTATGTGATAAATCTGACATAATTATGCAATCAGTTAACTGAGCAGATATTCACATATCCAGTTAGGATATTCCTAATTGTATCCTAATTTAGTTACACTACATTGCCAAAAGTTTAGAGTCGCCTGCCTTTACATGCACATGAAGGTTAATGACATCTCATTCTTAATCCGCAGGGTTTAATATGGAGTTGGCCCAACCTTTGCAGCTATAACAGCTTCAACTCTTCTGGGAAGGCTGTCCACAAGCCTTAGGGTTGTGTTCATAGGAATTTTTGACCATTCTTCTAGAAGCTCATTTGTGAGGTCAGGCACAGATGTTGGACAAGAAGGCCTGGCTCGCAGTCTCCGCTCTAATTCATCCCATAGGTGTTCTATTGGGTTGAGGTCAGGACTCTGTGCAGGCCAGTCAAGTTTCTCCACACCAAACTTGCTAATTCATGTCTTTATGGACCTTGCTTTGTGCACTGATGTGCAGGCATGTTGGAACAGGAAAGGGCCATCTCCACACTGTTTCCACAAAGTGGGGAACTTGAAATTGTCCAAAATGTCTTGGTATGCTGAAGCATAAACAGTTCCTTTCACTGGAACTAAGGGGATAAGCCCAACCCCTGAAGAACAAGCCCGCACGGTACTTGCCTGACTGCACAATGCAGTTCTCCTGGCAACCACCAAACCCAGACTCATCCATCGGCATGCCAGACAGAGAACCGTGGTTCGTCACTCCAGAGAACACGTCTCCACTGCTCCAGTGTCCACTTGCGGCCACTGGTGGCCTACCACCTCGTGGCTATGTTTCTATTGTTCCCAATCGCTTCCACTTTTGATAATTCCACTAAAAGTTGACCGTGGAATATTTAGTAGAGAGGAAATTTCATGAATGGACTTATTGCACAAGTGGCAACCTATCATGGTACCACGCTTGGATTCACTATCACAAATGTTTGCAGAAGCAGTCTGCATGCAGAGGTGCTTGATTTTATATACCTGTGGCCATTGAAGTGATTGGAACACTGAATTCAATGATTCGGACGGGTGTCCTAAAACTTGTCGCAATATAGTGTATTTGGTGGAAGGACCTACTTTGCATCACATGAGCTACAACAAACACAAGTGGTGGATGGGTTCACCATCTGCTGTTTAATGGCATTGCATGTTGTTAATGTCAATAAGGCACACGTGTGTGCACTGAACAAGTTACACCATCTCGTGCCAATATAAAGTAATATTGTAAAACAACCCTGTACGCAGGCTAATGGGTTGACGATGGATGGATGGAACTCTGAAACGCTTTGTTTTTTTCATGCACAACAGATGGAAACTTAAAACGCTCAAAGTAGCAAGCTAACATTAACTGTGAGGGCTGCTACTCGAGTCAAAGTGAGCTAGAACATTACGTAGTGATAAAAACTTGAAAGCTGACATATTACTGTATCAACCTTGCTGTGGATTTTCTTTACCCCACGGGTTAAAAATCACTTAATGCAGCTCCAACGTTTTGTCTACCAGTTTAAAGCTAAATCACTTCTTATTACACTTTACAATTTGGTGAACTATTTGTGGAGGAATAAAGCAAAATCTAATCATATCGGTGGTACCCCTACATTGGTGTGCCTATAGACTCAAACTCTGAACTTACTTAAGCAACAAACATTTTCTTACAAACACCATGGGTACATCTCAAGCCTTTTATTTGATATTCTCCTCGCTTGAACCAGAAGTTGTTTTGGTCCGCCATCTTGAAGGCTATCCCAAAGCTCCCATTTCTGTTCTGAGGAGCGAGGAGGGATCTCTGAGGAGCCATGACCTAGGATACATGAGAGCAGCCTTAACAGAAGTCTGTTAGTGGCCAGCACGCCCCCTTATTAGATATCAGTTATTAGCCGTGTTTCCATCTACGTTTTTTTAAGTCGCATTAGAAAAGGTTGATGGAAATGGCAAGTTTTTACGCTCGCTTGAGGTGGTTTTTGCATTTGTCGAAAAAGAATAAATACGCTAAAAGGGAGACGGAAACACTTTTGCCAAGTAAGTTCTGACTTGTAACTCACGTCTGATCAGCTGTTTCCACTGTCGGCGTCTTGCTGGATTTTCCCATAATGTCCAGAGACAGAGCTGGTAGCAGTTTGCCCGCTTGAAACACATTGCTGCTGAGGACCTCTCTCCATGCAATTGGTTTTGTTTCTGGTTTGGAACCCATAGGTCTTGTTTATTACAGCCATGTGTAACGTCAACTACTGACGTAACAATGCTTGCCTTAGCCTGGTTTATTCGCTCCAAACCAGCTGACTGAAACGCACATATTTCACAAAAGTCTGCTTAAAATTCGCATGACAATTAGATGGAAACATGGCTATAGACTGGACGCTGCACCTGATCGGACTAATCTGATACATCCCAACATCAATAGAGTTTCATACGGGAGTGAAGACAGATAACAGATCAAACTCAGGTGTATCACTCCTAAGTTTTATATCTGATTTGTTTTCTAAATCACCTTCTAGTAGAGTTCATTGTAGGTCTGAACAACAAAAGGTCACAAACCACAAACACTTTTCTTCATTTATCAGTAATATTCATCATTTGTTATTTTCCCCGTGTGGATGCACGGCCTGAGATGTACCCATGTGGTCTGAGAAAAGGTGTCTTCCCTACACCAAGTGGAATCATCATGATTTCCTTTTTACTGGAGCATAGCAAACCATGATTAACACTTGATGTTTAAAAAAGACATTGGGAAATGCTTCCTCCTTGTCTAGACTAATATTTAATACAAAAGTGTCTGACAAATGACCTTTTATTAAGTCATCAGATTTCACCCTCTTTTGACCACAATTTCCACATTTCCTGTGGTCAGGTTTCCTACCCTGGCACTGATGTCAAATCCTTTATTTCACTCCCTTTCACCACTGTCAGTGAAGAATGATAATGGTAAATGCTACCACGCAACACAGTTTAAAAAAAAAACAAATTTACTGACTTTAGATAACTTTTGTCAATCAGTGTTAGTCCATTGAATGTTTTCTTTGAGCAGTGTTACCTTGTTGAGTCTAAATTGCGCATCACGTGTGACAATCTCCTCAAACGGCTTGTTCCAGCTTCCTTTGAAGTAGATTGCATTGACCAGCACCAGCCTGGTCATGCTGTCCACCGCACCCTGGGCCAGCACGTCCTTAATTTTACCTGGCAAACCAAATTGACACATATGTGATGCAATGTCACACAACTGAAATCATATTTATTAGACCACAAAAGTCTTGGAAATAGAACTCAGCCTTTCAAACTGAAATCAATTCTGCAACACCATAAGAGAAACTAGATAGTTTGCATGTCAATGTGCAATTTTGTAAGTCTGGAAATCCAGCTGTTTCTGCCTACACAAATGAGAGTGACGCAGGACTGTGATTAACATTAATGCGGTCTTGGTTCTTCAATACCTTGCAGTGAATAAAGGGGGCATGCAGGTCTATTAACATACTGGTAAGTGTGTATGTTAGTGTGTATGATCCACCTTGTGTCTGCTGCTCCACCCAGCTATTGATGTGGACCCTGGCTGACTCTGAGCTGGTTTTGAAGTCCAAAGGCTCCAGCTCTGCTTTGTAGTGCTTCTTGGTTTTTCCTAAGAAATCCTGGAACCATCAACACATTTACCAGTTCTGATCACACAAACAAAATTATGGATTTGCTCAACTTGGAATTTAAAGTCTTCATAGCCAGAAAAGTATTTTCACAGTCACTGCTCTACCTGTTTGAATGCTTGCCACTCCCTTATTCGTTATTTCTTCTTACACAGCCTTAAGATTCCTGTCTGTGTCCCTCATTCACTAGAGCCTAGTATGTAAACAAGCCAACACCTACTTATGGCAATGCAAAAACACATGCTGGAACACACGTACCTCGATAAACTGGTAGGACTGCTCTCCGTACAGCCTGTTAGCAACACTGAGGGCATACGGAGCGTCTGCCTTGTTGAGCTCGCTCAGCAGTTGGGCAAAGCTAACGTGGACATCATCCTGTAAATCTTTGGTTTTCAGGGACTGTGGACAAAGCAGACAAGTGATGTTAGAGACACAATGAGCAAGTGACAGACCGCTGTATTATAAACAGTGTATTAGACTGACCTGGCTGCCATCTTGTCTTTTAAGTGATGAGACTATAGACAAGTTTGGTCATTTTATCCTGTTGACTTTGCTATGCAGTTGCACACAGTAAACAGTAGCTCAAAAATAAGCAACATATTGAACATATGAATCAATTGTTCATGAAAACAAAACCTTCAGAATTAGGGGATCTAAGAATTCAGGAAGGTATGTTGTCGGCAGGTGTGCATTCAAATCGACATAAATAAAAATGTACCATGGTCATTTACAATGATGTTTACAAAGTTTTGTGTAATCCAATTTGTATTTTTTTGTCTTAAAGGGGACTTATTATGCTTTTTTGTATTTTCTGTCTTATCTATAGTGTTACAATGTCAGATGTCCATGTTAAACATGACCAAAGCTTCAAATAATGAGGTAAACATATTTAAAAGAAATCCCAGTGAGCCAAACCTCAGATTTCCCACTATTCTGAATGCTCTAGTTTTTACAGTTGTTCTACTCTCGGCTCTGTATGATGTCATATATAGACAGGAGCATCTACAGCTTGTTTCAGACAGAGGCTGGAATGAGGGCCAGTATAAGATAGAAAACTTTTTTTTAACTTTGAATTATGCAAAGCTACCATACAGGAGTCACAGGAGAACTACAACATAGGGCTAGAAATAATAATAGGTCTCCTTTAAAATTATTTGTGTGCAAGTCTAATCGCACTATGGTTTCCAGCAGGAGCTTAAATAGGACATCAGGAAATACCCATGAAAAGAAAAGTCAGGACAATATTTTCTCTTGCATTTCCCAGCAGTAGTTTGGAGATTAGCAAGTAAAGCAGAGCGGAAACAAGTGTGTACAGGAACAGAGATTATCCTGGCAGTAATGTGTGGGTTGAGTTGTAATCCACAGGCCTCATACAGTACATCCCCATTATATTGGGAAGATGGACCAAAAGTTATGCCAAGTCAAACAGCTGATCAGAGAGTAGGGAGTAAATCATATTTAAATAAAATGGACTCTGTCTGGACTCTGCTTGGTCTGTCCGCAGTCAGTCGGGGTGGACCTGATGGCCATCAATAACAAGTGGAGTTTCACATCCCAGTCCTTACTGCTGCTATGAACATACTTCTTGAGCACGTTGACAATGATGTGTTTTGCACATTCGAAATATTCCGGGGATGATACGGGATGTGGAATTTTACTTTCACTCCCAGGATGTTGAATAAGGTAGTCAAAATGCTGAAGGTAAAATGGATGCCTTGATCTGAATCGACAGAGAGGCATAGCCCCCAGCGGCTGAACATGTAGTTCAGTATTAGGACTACGTCATAGCCATGTTGTTAGGTGCTAGAAGGCATTCAACCTATTTTGAGAATGCACGGGTGACGATGAGGAAGTACTTTGTTACCCTAAGAGGATTTTGGGGCGGGTCCGATCCAATCAACTTGGAGGTGGGACCAGGGGATTGTGACCCCCCTTCTTAGGAGTTGTAGGGTTGGCTAAAACTGACAACATACTAGAGACTCACAGGTCCTTTTCCAGCCTGAAGGGCACCTGGTCAAGGCAGAGAGCTCACAGCTCATCTGACTCAAATGATGGGGTTGGTGAACTGTGTTTTGCGGACAGTTTGATTCTAGCTTCCAGATAGCTTGAATAGCTGGCGAATAAATCAGGTTTACCAGGTGCAGGTATGATGGTTTTCTTTCCTCACCTGCCAACCAAGGTTGATGGCATTTACTGTCCAACTGTAGGATATTGGAAGCCACTCACTCTGGACCGTGTTTAGCACCTAGCTTATGTTTGGCTTTGTAAGTTCCATATATATATATATATACACTAATCAGATGAAGAAATTAAAGCTTTCTTTTAAGTTTGTAATGTAATAACTAATGCTCTGCCCTCCCTTCTTTTTAGACACAATGGCATCACCAACTCCTCTATCCAAGGCCAACACCTCCTTCTCTCTGGCTTTGCTCAAAAATCTGGGTGATAACGACAAGACCGCAAATGTCTTCTACTCCCCTTTCAGCATCTCTTCAGCCCTGGCTATGGTGTTGCTGGGGGCCAGGGGCAACACAGCCACACAGATGTCAGAGGTACAGTACACACACACACACACACACACACACACACAGTCTATATATATATATATATATATATATATATATATATATATATATACACACACACACACACACACACACACACACACACACACACATATATGTAATGACATTGCAGTCCCCTGAGATGAAGAAGTCACAGCGGAAGAGGTGTTTCAGTGGATGGGGATCAGGAAGAGATGAGCAGTTCTTTAACTAATCAGTCCATCAACTCTGATGATGAGGATGAAGAAACCTTCAGCCAGACCTCTGTGGACTGGTCTCGGCCTGTTGCGGACACCGAGGCAAAGAAGAACAAGGAGGAGGAGAAGAAGATGAAGCGGTCTCCTTTGGCTACTGTGCTGAAGTGCTGATGTTGACTTGAAATGTAAAGGTCACCTCCAGTTTCAGCAGCTGGCTTGATAATAACTTCACAATGGTCAGCACAGGCAAAAGCAGCTAGCAACTACAAAAAAATGGGTAACAGTGCTGGAGCAGACACAACAAGCAATGACTAAGGAATGTAAGAATGACACATCCCTGAAATTACAGGAACTTTACTTCCAAAAATACTACAGTCAGACAAAACATTATAATAGGAGATACAAAATCCATTTGTATCAACTTTTTCCATGTTACATTAATATTTTTGACACCACTAAGAATCAGATTGACACTCTCTACCCAGTGTTCTAGGTTGTAGGCGGATTAACATGCCACCATTACTGCAGTGACATCTCATCTTGATACTTATTTGGTGCAGTATCAGTCATAGACCAGGGGCTTATTTCCCTGGCCACTCATGAACACTATCAACAGATTATCAAGAATAAATTAAGCTCGAAAAACCAGTCCCTGTTCTGACTCTAAAATCTACCTGTACTGTTTACAATTTATTCTTATTAATTTGTCATTTTTGTAATTCAGTAGCTGGTCATATTTTATATGCTGTATATATATCATATCAACTGACCTCATGTACATAATAACAAAAATATTTATTCCAGCATCCTTTGCACTATGCTTCACTACACTGTTGCGTTGCTGTCTAGAAATTTTATGTGAGTGTATTGAGTGTATGTGTGTGTGCTGTACGCTCTAGTCTGTGCCTGTTGTGTGCTGAGGTTTTGTTCATGCTTGTTGTGTTTATGTACATTTACAGCAATGTAAGACAGAAGTCAAATTCGTATGAGTACACATACCTGGCCATTAAAACTGATTCTGATTACTGACACTGGTATTGGTGTTGTCAGTACCAGAGGTTCGTAGTTCCGTTAAACAAAGTATACATATATAATTCTAAACACACGGTATCTTTGTCATTTTTGCTGATGCTGAAAGAAAAACCTGGTGATTCTTTTGGAATGAGGTCTGACACGCCTGCAGTACTTCACTGCCCTTCATTCCTAAACCACTAGCTTCCGTGTTGCTTGACATTGTCTCAGAGAGGTCCTGGGTTGCCTTTATGATCAATTCAGAAGACACAGTTTGTGGTGTTTTAATAGAGTGCATTTTTTAGTACGAAATCTGTATCATTTTGTCTACCAGATGGCAAAAAAAATTAGACCAAGCTGAACCAGGAGCACCAACCTGCAATTCCATTAATGTAAATCTGTTTCTTTTCACAAAGACTTTGTGTGTGTGTGTGTGTGTGTGTGTGTGTGTGTGTGTGTGTGTGTGTGTGTGTGTACTGTACCTCTGACATCTGTGTGGCTGTGTTGCCCCTGGCCCCCAGCATCACCATAGCCAGGGCTGAAGAGATGCTGAAAGGGGAGTAGAAGACATTTGCGGTCTTGTCGTTATCACCCAGATTTTTGAGCAAAGCCAGAGAGAAGGAGGTGTTGGCCTTGGATAGAGGAGTTGGTGATGCCATTGTGTCTAAAAAGAAGGGAGGGCAGAGCATTAGTGATTACATTACAAACTTAAAAGAAAGCTTTAATTTCTTCATCTGATTAGTTTCTTAGTCTCTGGTTGGGCCAAACACCACTGAAGAGTTAGTTAATTTACAAATAAAATGATTGTCTCTGAATATAAATACCTGGTAGAAGATATATTAAGACAATTTCGAAACCTGAGGCCGTGTCTGAAACCCGAAATCCCCACATTCAGTCTTTAGTTCAGAAAACATTAGCCTAAATAGGCCAAGCAGGGTGCATTCAATATAGTTTTGGTTGACCCATCCTAACAGTGATAACAAAGAAGTAGTTATCATCAGTAATTTATGATTTTATTTAAATTATACAGCATCTTTGGTGGTGTGTAATTACCAGCCGATTGAGCCTACCGCTTCAGAACCTGTCGTTTAAAATTAATTTACGAATCAATAGGCTTATAGCCTGAATCTGCTGTTAACATTACACCATCTAACGTTATCTACAAACTACATAATCAGATCTCAGTGTCACAAACTGAATGAGACTCTGTACTTACTGACAGACACTTTTCTTGTGGTCCTCAAATGATCAGGAGTCTTTCCTTCGCTGGAAGACTTCTTCTTAAAGCTTCAGCTTTATTATTATTTATAAATTCGCGTTTGGTCTGAATGCGAGAAGGGTCCAGCTCATAGGTCCAGCTGCAGCCCGCAGACAAACCAGACAAATGTGACGGAAGTTGACGGAAGTTGAACTTCCATATATGGTTCATCCCACAAGCCACCGCGCACAAAACGTGATGACGTTTATCTCGGCCGTTCGGCCCACGCAGAGCCGTTAAAAAAAAAGAGCAGTCTATGGTGTCGACGTACCAATCAGTGTACATTATGCGTTAATATTTACTTTATACTATAATTATATAATAATATTATTGTAGTATATAAATACTGTAAATATTTATTATAATAGCGTAATGATAATAATAATAAAGCATATTTCAATTCATACTGTTGTATATTTTATTTTTATAAATGGGTTAAGCAACAGATGTCCTCATTCCCAACCTCTATCTCCAGAGACAATATAACATTTGGACTGATATTGCAAAGCAAGGGTGATGAGCTCTGTAGTAATACAATTGTATGTTTAGCTAAATTTTTCATTCACAAATGTAGAATTGTGAAGTCATCTCCCAAATTTGTTGTTTTTTAAAATTAATTTAAACTATATATAAAATCCTTAAAAACGCTGAAAGGTCCTGAAGCACAAAAAATATTTGATACCCTAAAACACTTCCCAACTGAGGTAAATAGCTGAACAGAGACTGAATCCTCCCTTTTATGTTATAATTTCTTACCGGTTATTTATTTGAATTTATTTATTTGAATGCTTCCTTCTCTTTTATAAATCATCCTTATTTTGTCACTAAGACTACATAACTATCTCCTGTTTGTATGAAGAGCTGCTCCCTATGGCTATATTTTGTACTTATCTTATTCTGTAGAAACGAATTCTGTGCAGCCATATGTTTGTCTGTAAATCTTGATACTTATCAATCAATCAATAAAAAAAAAGAAAGAAAATAATGCGGCATAACAGACGAGCTTCCGCTCGGCTGTAATTGCGGAAGCCGAGATCAAACGAGATTTTACTTGCTTTTGTAGCACACAAACTGGAATTGTCATGTGTTATCGTAATAAATCATAGGGGTTAATGTCAGAATGAACAAACACTTGATTGGGTTGTTGGAAACTTCGCTACTTCAGCTTAATTTTGCAAATAAAACATCAGTCTATTGAGTCTAATTCAGTTTTGTTTTAACATGAGAAACAGCAATCCCCTCTCTGTGTAGGGTCCAGGATAACAGAAATAAACTAAAGTAGGCTACAGAAACGTTACCCAGCTCGCCACGCTTGGATTCTTCTTATCAATCTGTTGTGTTGACGAACACTGATTCTGTTGCCTCGTCAGGAGATATGATTAATTTATGAAGGTGCAGCGACTCGTGTTTCCAACGTCCACAGCACCTCTTTTAGGTTGGAGTATTAAGTTTACTTTCTGTTTGCATTTGTATTACCGTAATGAACCTAAACTGTGAGGTAACGGACTATCTACTTCAAAGGCACCTGCTGTTCCTGTGGATTCTCACTTAAATGCTTTGAAACTGGTTGACTATTAGATTAAATCAATCAGTCATAGATTACCTTTGTTAAATAAGTAGTTTGTTTGTCTTTCTATCTATATTTAGATTTCCAGCAAATTTCATGTTGAGATTAACCATGAAGCTGGGTCTTCTTCCACACTGGGATACTGATAAAGGAGCAGAGGCAGGGAAATAGATCTGTAAACTTCAACTGGAGTGAGTTTATAGAGCATTTACTGTATGTGTGACAAACTCTTAAACACCAGGAGTATCACACTCACCCCTATATTCCATTTAGACGTTGTGGGGCCAACTGTCCATTCTGTGTATTGTGCTACAGATTCCTGTCTGTGTTTTTATCAACTTTAGAGAGGCGTGTGGACTCCACTGACCCAGTGTACTTTGTCAACCATAACACCAATACAATGCAGTGGGAAGACAAGAATGAGCTCATACTCCAGTTGACTAGCTGGCGAATACTTCCACTTTCTGGTCACAACTGCACACAGCAGCTGAGGAAGAGTCCGGCCTTTTAAAATCACATCTTATCACATGAATGTTTAAACCATGGCGAGGATTGATAATGAAAAATGGCAGCAGCTGCTACAGACCAGCATTATTCTGTATCTGTACTTACTTTCACTCAACAGTAGATAATATCCTGCTCTGTAATCATGTAGTTTGAGTAATCAGTTTTCATTAGTTCCACTCTGTAGCCAAATACAAAATATTTAGTAGCTCTCCACTTACATGCCAATAACATTTCTCAGGAATGCTTTTATTTTCAAGTTTATTGTATTCATTATTGGACAAAGTTGAAGAGTTTAATCCTAACTTAACCCTAACACCCAAACATTCCTTTGTCCAATTGCCAAAAATATTTTTCCTCATCAGTAGAATATGCGATGTGTGTTGAATATTTGTCTGTGTAACACAGATGATGATACATTTGTCGTGACCTTGACAAACTGTTAAGGGCAACAACAGACTGCTTTTCCAAACATTCAAACATTTTACGTTATTGGATTCCTGTACGATCACATTAAACTAACTTTCAACATCTTGAATAAAATGTTGAATTATATTTTCTTATTATAAACAAAGCAACATTCTGCTATGGGTGTCAGTACCTCGAGTCACACCACAGAGCATCTTGTTGTATCAGTGAGTGTTCAATTCAACTGAAATTTCTTCACAGTGATTTACTGTCCACTAAAATGAATACAGACCTCCTCATTTTTAAGGGATTGAGATAATAGATAGTCAGAGAAATGCACAAGGCAAAAACTACATATTTTACGCAACTGATTGCAGAATCTGAAGGAAATAGCACCTCTTTTTGGAAACACCTAAACAGTCTTACCAAACTAAAGCCCAGCCAACAAAAATTAATAATGGGGCTGGAAGTAGTAGTGGAGTGACTAGCAATGACAGTACAGAAATTTCAAATTAATTTAATAATTACTTAAATCAGTAGAGGAGCTTGCTCAAAATTTTGAACCAGTTTAAATATCACAGGGTAATATGACAGAATCATTGCAGTCTTTCTATATTAAGGAGGTTGAACAAGAGAAAGTAGGTTAAAACATCAATAAATCATCAATTAATTAATAAAAATGTAATAACTCAAAGGTAAAGGATCTGTTTGGTTTGAATATTGCTGTTATAAAAACACACAGCTCTGTATTTAAAATATTAAATTCTAATACTGTAATTAATTTAAAAACAACGAGGCAGCTATGCACACTTCAATATTTACCTACCTCATGCCCGTTGGGTCTGGTCTTACCAAATAACTGTCACCACATAATAGTAAAGTATCGCTAAAGAATCGGATCACTAAGCAGTCTAAATATTAATAAAAATTAATGATCCCCATCCCCAGGCACAGCGCTACGGAGGCCACAGGCAGCCATCTATTCAAATATCTTTCTTACTCCGTTTTCCCGTGATAACAGGATAATTATCTCAAGCTAATGAATGTTGTTTTCCTGTGATAAAAGGATAATTTTCTGGTGATCTCGAGATTAGAACAGTAGTTTAACACAGGGGTCAGCAGGAGCTAGGGTTTGTTATCTCGAGATCACGAGAAAATAATCCCATTATCACAGGAAAACAACATTCATTATCTCCAGATCACATGATTAAAAAAATAAAAAATTCATCCAGAGTTGACGTCCTTGCTAGTAGTTTAAGAGGCATAATAGACATTGTGATAAAGGCAAATTCTTTCACAGGGTGTAAGATAAACTAATATTTAAGTCTAATGGACTCTAACGATATATCTAAACTAGGTTATGAGGGTGCAGCAAATAGAACCATACACACATTACATGCATACATAAAGTAAACCACGTCCTAAAGATGAGATCAGGTGCAAAAGATAAACAGTGCTAAAACCTTATGTTCAGTTAGGCACAGAGTAACCACAGAATCTGGATATTTGGAAAATCAAAGGTTGGGACAGGAACTCAGCATGATTAGCTATAGGAAACTAGAGCAGTTATTCTACAAATAACATTTAGACTGTTGCAATAGATGTATTGTAACCCCCCCTCCAGTTGTGTAACAACACTGCTCTGAAGTGAAGCAGACAAGAAGCCACAGTTCAGAAAATCTAACACCATAGTTTTTATTCTTCATCCCGGTCTTGCAACACCAAATAACATTTTATAACATTATAATAGTAGATGTTGAGAAACAACACTGCTCTGAACGATGTAGCGTTCACTCGGGGGAGCAGTATCGGCCAGCAAAGAGAATGCTCATGGAGGGGTTATGTCGGATGAAGAAGAGGAAGGGGTGGTCTGCGATGAACCTGGCTGATACAAATCTGAGACACTGAAGCTGAAAGGAAACACCAGTGGCAGCTGCAGCCTCAGTTCCCTCCTCGTTGACCTCCACGAAAGCCTTGTGGACGACTTTTGACAGTACTAGGTCATTGGCGGGAGACATGCCTGTCAGCAGAGGAGAAGGAAAGAGAATATTTTAAATAACTATAATGCCTTGTCTCACCCTACATGACAGAAATGTAGAGCACATTGATTTAAGAGAACCTCTGTATTGACTTGTTGCTCCTTTGAACTGACAGGAGCCAGTTCAGCTTTTGGTCCCTGTTCTTTAAATGATGATGAATATATGTGAAATGGTCCAGACACATGTCCTACCAGAGAAGTCACTCGAAGCCATGTCGAAGGCATCCACCATGCCCATGCTGATCAGGACATTCTTCATGTCATACTTCTCCTCCATCTTGAATCGAGGCAGCCCCACCTGGACCTCAATGTTATTCATCATGTCTGGGCGCGTCCACTCCACAAAGTTCTCATAGGTCAGCGTCTTCTCCAGCTGGGGGTGGACACAAAATCAATTCTTAGTTTGTCTGCATCTTGTGCGTTTTCTTATGTGTATATGTGTGTGTCTCTGTGTCCTACCTTCTCCAGGCCTGTTGTACTGTCCTCTAATTCATTTGGTAGAAAGATGAGCATGCTGAGCTCCTTTCCTTTGTACGGCATCTCTAGGATCTGTCCAACAGAAGGTTTCAAACATTACAGCAAATATATTCTGCTCTGGCAACTGTTTGGTTACGTGTGTGTTTTAACAGGATAGTTTATGTAGTTACATACAACAAACAAAACCCTTATTAGGTAGTTCGTTTCATAGTTATGGTAAAAAAAAAAAAAAAAGCTGGATCAAAACCAAAATCTCATTAAATCTTCTTTAATTCACATTCCATGGAAAATCCTGCTTAACCTCATTATCAAAGGATGATGATTGCTGATGATTAAATGATTGGTTGATTAGTTGTTACCTGACCAGTTAATAGTTGGTTGATGGACCAACAGACATATTGACTGACATACCATATTAATTAATTAATTAACTGAATTGCTTGATTACCTGGCAGTTGGCTTCAGAGATAGAGGTGAGGGGGAAGTTGGTATCTTGATACATCATCTTCACTGGCTTAGTGTCATTCTGAAAACAACAAACAGAAAAAAACCTGCGCTTTAAGAGAAACTCACCACCAGCTGAAATCTTTTGTACAGTGTTTTGTACAGTGATACAGAAGTGTGCGGCAGGTTGTGGTCACTGTTTGGTGTGCTCAGAGAGGTAACATACTTGAAACCTTCAACCAGACAGGGCAGCAAAACAGTAGGAAGTTACACTTTAATATTTTCTAAATCACATTTAAAGCTGCATTAAGCTACAGTATATTTTGGATATTAACATGAATTAAAATGACTTCTTTGACGTAAAACGATTGCTGGCCCTGCTGACATCACCAAAAATAATAACCACACTTCAAATTAAGGGGCCAAGCACCCTCAAACTCGCAGAGGCCAATTGTAGACTCTCAGCTCAGTGGGAAATGGTGGAGAGCAGAAATAAACAAGTAGTTCAGTTATTCATCAAGTGGGGAGTAAAACACTCTAATGGGATGGCCATGTTGCCCTACATCCTCTCGTGTGCCAGTAACAAGTTAGCAAAAACTAAAATGACAAAGTATCAAAGCTTGCGGTTGATTTTCTTTTTCAGTGTTGACCCGCTGGTTAAAAATAACTTAATGCAGCTCCAACGTTTTGTTGACCAGTTCACAAAATCACTTTTGATATGTATAAAGTCCAATGTCTTCACATTTTTGACTTTGGTGAACCATCTGTCAGTGCACCAAGCGATATCTAATTCTATTTATGCTGCAGGTAAAGGTGTGTCTACAGACTCAAACTCTGAACTTAAGCAACAAACATTTTTTTTACGAACACAATTGGTACACCCAAAGTTTCTTGTTTGATATTTGCTCGCTCCCCACTTGAACCAGAAGTTGTTCTGGTCCGCCATCTTGAAGGCCATGCCAAAGCTATTATTTCTGTTCCGAGGAGCGAAGAGGGATCTCTGAGGAGCCATGAGCAAGGATACATGAGAGCAGCCTTAACGGAAGTCTCATACTGGCCAACAAGCCCCTTATTGGATATCAGTCTTTGACTGAATGCTCCACCTGATCGGACTGATCTGATACATCCCAACATCAACAGAGTTTCATACGGGAGTGAAGACAGATTAAACTCAGGTGTATCACTCCCAAGTTTTATATCTGATTTGTTTTCTGAATCACCTTCTAGTAGAGTTCATTGTAGGTCTGAACAACAAAAGGTTACAAACCACAAACACTTTTCTTCATTTATCAGTAATATTCATCATTTGTTATTTTCCCCGTGTGGATGCACGGCCTGAGATGTACCCATGTGGTCTGAGAAAAGGTGTCTTCCCTACACCAAGTGGAATCATCATGATTTCCTTTTTCCTGGAGCATAGCAAACCATGATTAACACTTGATGTTTAAAAAAGACATTGGGAAATGCTTCCTCCTTGTCTAGACTAATATTTAATACAAAAGTGTCTGACAAATGACCTTTTATTAAGTCATCAGATTTCACCCTCTTTTGACCACAATTTCCACATTTCCTATGGTCAAGTTTCCTACCATGGCCCTGATGTCGAATCCTTTATTTCACTCCTTTTCACCACTGTCAGTGAAGAATGATAATGGTAAATGCTACCACGCAACACAGTTTTAAAATAAACAAATTTACTGACTAGCTGAATTTTTTCTTTGAGCAGTGTTACCTTGTTGAGCCTAAATTGAGCATCACGTGTGTCAATCTTCTTAAATGGCTTGTTCCAACTTCCTTTGAAGTACATAGCATTGACCAGCACCAGCCTGGTCATGTTGTCCACCGCACCCTGGGCCAGCACGTCCTTAATTTTACCTGGTAAACCAAAATGATATGTATGTGAAGCAACATCACACAACTGAAAACATGTGTGAAGTGTTTAAAAATGGCGAGCCATTCCCCATCACAAAATTTTGTGAAATCATATTTATTAGACCACGAGTCTTGGAAGTAAGCCTTTTTGACTGAAATCAATTCTGCACCACCATAGTGAAAACTTTTGAATTCATGGCATTGTAAGGCCATTTAATGTGCAATTCTGCCAGTCTGGAAATCGAGCTACTTCAGCCTACAAAAATGAGACTGTCCCAGGACTGTGATTTACATTAATGTGTTGTCAATTCTTTATAACTACATTGAATAAAGGGGGTATGCAGGTCTATTAACATTCTGGTAAGTGTGTATGTTAGTGTGTATGATCCACCTTGTGTCTGCTGCTCCACCCAGCTATTGATGTGGACCCTGGCTGACTCTGAGCTGGTTTTGAAGTCCAAAGGCTCCAGCTCTGCTTTGTAGTGCTTCTTGGTTTTTCCTAAGAAATCCTGGAACCATCAACACATTTACCAGTTCTGATCACACAAACAAAATTATGGATTTGTTTAACTTGGAATTTAAAGTCTTCATAGCCAGAACAGTATTTTCACAATCACTGCTCTACCTGTTTGAATGCTGGCCACTCCCTTATTCGTTATTTCTTCTTACACAGCCTTAAGATTCCTGTCTGTGCCCCTCATTCACTAGAGCCTAGTATGCACACCTACTTACGGCAATGCAAACACACATGCTGGAACACACGTACCTCGATAAACTGGTAGGATTGCTCTCCGTACAGCCTGTTAGCAACACTGAGGGCATACGGAGCGTCTGCCTTGTTGAGCTCGCTCAGCAGTTGGGCAAAGCTAACGTGGACATCATCCTGTAAATCTTTGGTTTTCAGGGACTGTGGACAAAGCAGACAAGTGATGTTAGAGACACAATGAGCAAGTGACAGACCGCTGTATTATAAACAGTGAATTAGGTTAGAGGATCTAAGAATTCAAGAAGGTATGTTTTTGGCAAGTGTGCATTCAAATCAGGAAGACACTGATAAACACTGTCTTCCTGATTTGATCAATGTTTCCTTAGACAGTTACAATGATGTTTGCAAAATTTTGTATTATCCAGTTTATATTATTTGTGTTAACTGAAACCTTTGACTGTTAATTCTAATCACACCGTGGTTTCCAGCAGGAGGACTAAATTCTCCCTTGCCTTGCCCAGCAGTCGACTGGAGATCACAATACCGCATAGGTTTACTATAGGGTTAAGGTTAGGCGAGTTTGCCTGCCAATTAAGAACAGGGACACCATGGTCCTTAAACCAGGTACTGGTAGCTTTGGCACTGTGTGTAAGTCCGGTTGGAAAATGAAATCTGCATCTCCATAAAGTTGGTCAGCAGCAGGAAGCATGAAGTGCTCTAAAACTTCCTGGTAGACGGCTGCGTTGACCTTGGACCTCAGAAAACACAGTGGACAGACACCAGCAGATGACATGGCACCCCAAACCATCACTGTGGAAACTTTACACTGGACTTCAAGCAACGTGGATTCTGTGCTTCTCCTCTTCCTCCAGACTCTGGGACCTTGATTTCCAAAGGAAATGCAAAATTTACTTTCATCAGAGAACATAACTTTGGACCACTCAGCAGCAGTCCAGTCCTTTTTGTCTTTAGCCCAGGCGAGACGCTTCTGACGCTGTGTCTTGTTCAAGAGTGGCTTGACACAAGGAATGCGACAGCAGAAACCCATGTCTTGCATACGTCTGTGCGTGGTGGTTCTTGAAGCACTGACTCCAGCTGCAGTCCACTCTTTGTGAATCTCCCCCACATTTTTGAATGGGTTCTGTTTCACAATCCTCTCCAGGGTGCGGTTATCCCTATTGCTTGTACACTTTTTTCTACCACATCTTTTCCTTCCCTTCGCCTCTTTATTAATGTGCTTGAACACAGAGCTCTGTGAACAGCCAGCCTCTTTAGCAATGACCTTTTGTGTCTTGCCCTCCTTGTGCAAGGTGTCAATGGTCGTCTTTTGGACAGCTGTCAAGTCAGCAGTCTTCCCCATGATTGTGTAGCCTACAGAACTAGACTGAGAGACCATTTAAAGGCCTTTGCAGGTGTTTTGAGTTCATTAGCTGATTAGAGTGTGGCACCAGGTGTCTTCAATATTGAACCTTTTCACAATATTCTAATTTTCTGAGATACTGATTTTGGGGTTTTCATTAGTTGTCAGTTATAATCATCAAAATTAAAAGGAATGAACACTTGAAATATATCAGTCTGTGTGGAATGAATGTATAAATTATACAAGTTTCACTTTTTGAATGGAATTACTGAAATAAATCAACTTTTTGATGATATTCTAATTATATGACCAAACATCGGCGAGACGTATGCTATTTGGCTGTTGATTGTGATTTACTGGTATATATATATATATATATATATATATACATATATATACACACATATACATATATATACACATATATATATATATATATATACATATATATACACATATACATATATATACACATATATATACACATATATATATATATATACATATATATATATATATATATATATATATATATATATATATATATATATATATATATATATATATATATATATATATATATATATATATATATATATATATATATATATATATATATATATATATATATACATACATATATATATATATATATATATATATATATATATATATATATATATATATATATATATATATATATATAAAAAAAACTCTAAACACACGGTATCTTTGTCATTTTTGCTGATGCTGAAAGAAAAACCTGGTGATTCTTTTGGAATGAGGTCTGGCACGCCTGCAGTACTTCACTGCCCTTCATTCCTAAACCACTAGCTTCCGTGTTGCTTAACATTGTCACAGAGAGGTCCTGGGTTGCCTTTATGATCATTTCAGAAGACACAGTTTGTGGTGTTTTAATAGAGTGCATTTTATAGTATGAATTTGTATCATTTTGTCTCCCAGATTGAAAAAATAAATAATACCGTTTTATAAAAAATTAAGGATATAAGCTCCACAAAATCAAGCTGAACCAGGAGCACCAACCTGCAATTCCATTAATGTAAATCTGTGTGTGTGTGTGTGTGTGTGTGTGTGTGTGTGTGTGTGTGTGTGTGTGTGTGTGTGTGTGTGTGTGTGTGTGTGTGTGTGTGTGTGCTGTACCTCTGACATCTGTGTGGCTGTGTTGCCCCTGGCCCCCAGCAACACCATAGCCAGGGCTGAAGAGATGCTGAAAGGGGAGTAGAAGACATTTGCGGTCTTGTCGTCGTCACCCAGCTTTTGGAGCAAAGCCAGAGAGAAAGAGGTGTTGGCCTTGGATAGAGGAGTTGGTGATGCCATTGTGTCTAAAAAGAAGAGAAGCCAGAGCATTAGTGATTACATTACAAACTTAAAATAATGCTTTTATTTCTTCATCTGATAAATTTTACTCTCTGGTTGGGCCAAACACCACTGAAGAGTAAATTCATTTACAATTAAAATGATTGTCTCTGAATATAAATACCTTAGTCTTTAGTTCATCAAACATTAAAGCCAAGTATTAACAACAAAGTATTGCATGAGCTCTTGGTTTATTTTGCGATCCACCCTCAACATCATAACGTTACATTCCTTCAGCGGTAAGTGGTCTAATCACACCATCTGAGTTACTCCAACCCCCTCGTAAGACAGTAACTTCATCACAATAGTATAAGTGCGCGACACTATATACCACATTATTTGTTATCATAAATAGTTTATGATTTTTTTTTTTAATTATACTGCATCCATGGTGGTGTATAATTACCATCAGACTGAGCCTACCCTTTAACTGGTCATGTAAAATTAATTTAAGAAATGTGCTTATAGCCTGAATCAAGTTACTGCTGTTACACCATCTATCTACACACTAAAATAATCAGATCTCAGTGTCTCACACTAAAAGAGATTCATCCTATAGCCTACTTACTGACAGACACTTTTCTTCTGGTCCTCAAATGATCAGGAGTATTACCTTCACTGGAAGACTTTTGCTTGAAGCTTCAGCTTTATTATTTAGAAACTGACACGCCCCCCCCCCAACTAAAAGCATCTGATGAGCTTCCGCATGTCATTGTACAGAAGCTGAACTACATTTTACTCGCTGATATGGCTTTAAGTCAAAATGAACAAACACTTGGAAACTAGGCTACTTCTGCTTAGTGCTAAATTCTGCAAATAAAACATAATTCTGGTGAAGTCTAATTTAGTTTTGTTTTATTATGAGATACAACAATCCTTTATCTGTGTAGGGTCTGGGTACGATTTTCACCTATGTCTTATGCCCAGTGAAAAAATAGAATAGGCTACAGTACCCAGCTCGCCAGGACACGCTTGGATTCTTCTTATCACTCTGTTGTGTTGACGAACACTGCGGTAATCCTTATTCTGTTGCCTCGTCAGGAGATATGATTCATTTATGAAGGTGCAGCGACTCGTGCTTCCAACGTGCACAGCACCTCTTTTAGGTTGGAGTATTTAGTTTACTTTATGTTGGCATTTGGGTTACCGTAATGAACCTAAACTGTGAGCCGTCAGTGCAAGGTTTGGTAACGGACCATCTACTTCAAAGGCACCTGAGATACCCGTTGCTGTGAATTCTCACTTAATGCTTAGAAAATGGTTGACCAGATGAAATCAATCAGTCATGAATTTGCTAATTGAGTAGTTTGTTTGTCTGTCTATCTATATTTAGATTTCCAGCAAATTTCATATTGACATTGACCAGGTGGGTCTTCATCCACTGTATGTGTGACAAACTCTTCACAAACACATGGAGTATCACACTTGCAGCAATTTAAGAGGATATTACTTTTTTACTACCGCGTCACTTTGACAGTTCCACAGGCAGCACCTCCCTCTAATGGCCATACTGGGTCCAACCTGAGGAAATGTTGGTTTGTTTGAACATGAATCCTGGGGGAATTCAGCACAAAATGTTTTGCAACACAAGGAATTATAAAATAAAAAACATTTATGCGGGCATAAGGAGGTCCTCCTTCCTTCTGCTGTCATTACTCGCTGTTTACAAAGATCACAGATGACAGTTAGTTGAATAAGTCTGTTTATAGCATGAGTCAGCGCTGGTGATAATCTGACTGATGTGTTGCCACACTGTGGGACCAACTGTCCATTCTGTCTATTGAGCTACAGATTCCTGTCTGTGCTTTTATCATCTTTAGAGAGGCGTGTGGACTCCAATGACCGAGTGTACTTTGTCAACCAAAACACCAAGACAATGCAGTGAGAAGACCCCTGAACCCAGGAGTGAGCTCAGTGCCACAAAACCACTATAGAAATAAAAATGGTACAAATAACCTGAGCAACTATAGAGATACCTGCTGGTATCCCTGGCTGGTAATAACTGATCTAAAATAAAGTTAAAGGAATGAACTGAAGAAGAAACAACATTCATAGGTATTATTCAGTCCCAGAGATTTTAAAGTAAAATGCTGAATGTGATGGTATTCAGTAGGATGCAGTATTAAATTATTTATAGTTATTCACCATAGACTGTATATAAAAAGGTATTCACACGAAAAAAAGAAGTGTTCATTGTATTGTACAGTAGTAACCATCTCAATTCTACGACAGTGCCACCTAGTGGTAAAGTACTAAAAACTTAATGATGGAGGATGGAACACAACAACAGCGCCTACAAACTAAATAATCATATCTCATTGTCACTAACGGAATGAGACTCTGTACTTACTGACAGACACTTTTCTTCTGGTCCTCAAATGATCAGGAGTCTCACCTTCACTGGAAGACTTTTGCTTGAAGCTTCAGCTTTATTATTTACAAACTGACACGCCCCGAAATCCTCAGATGAGCTTCCGCATTTTCATTCTAAGGAAGCCGAACAGACAAAAGTACATTTACTCCCTTTTAACAAATAAACAAATCTAACTTTAGGAAATAGTAGAAATCTGAGAGGAAAGGGCATCACTTATGATTAGGCTACTTAAAATATATAATTAAAAAAAATCTCTTTTGGGACATGTTTGTAACCCAAAGCAAGGAGAAAATGTTTTCAACTATGGGTGAATTCGTCACCCCAAACGCCACGCAGTACCTTCCAGCTTGCAAGATCCTTTCATTTCGGGTATAGGCCTATGTGCATACAGTATCTGCACCCACTCCTTACTGATCATAAATTGTTTAGCTCCAGTGAAGATGGTGTCATTGAATAAACGTTTATGTTGTTTTTTACATAAATCAGTATGTCTTTAGAAAGTACACAAATGTTGAGTCTGTGTAGTGGAACTTCTGATCTGAAATTTGAAAAATGTTAAAATTAAATTAATTTGTAATGAGAAATGCTTTGATCTGAAACGTAAAGCTTAAAGTGATTTTTGACCAGTAGGGACAGAAACCCAAAATAAACTCAAGAATAGTTCTTGATAGCGTACTGAATTGGCATATATTATAATACATGCCCAATTTGGAAGTGTAATATTTACCAGCATTTTATGTCAAATATGGGGTCTCTTTTGTTAACTTAATGTTTCCCTTTCTTGCAGCTACTCAGAGTAATCGGATCATTAGTATACAAAATACAGTACTGCACAATGTAGCTTAAAATATGCTGCAGAGCACACAGTATTTTAACACACAGAATGACATTAAGCCAGTGATGATTATAAAACAGATGTTCTACCCTCTTTCCTTCATTTCCTTCATCTTTATTTAATGGTCAGTAAGGACTGAATGAAATCAATCAGTCATGAATTACATTTTCTAAATGAGTAGTTTGTTTGTCTTTCTATCAATATTAGATTTCCATCAAATTTCATGTTGAGATTGACCATGAAGCTGGGTCTTCATCCACAGCGGATACCGATAAAGGAGCAGAGGCAGGGGAATAGATTTGTGAGCTTTCTCTACACAACTAGACTGAGTATACAGAGCTTATACACTCACCTAAAGGATTATTAGGAACACCATACTAATACTGTGTTTGACCCCCTTTCGCCTTCAGAACTGCCTTAATTCTACATGGCATTGATTCAACAAGGTGCTGAAAGCATTCTTTAGAAATGTTGGCCCATATTGATAGGATAGCATCTTGCAGTTGATGGAGATTTGTGGGATGCACATCCAGGGCACGAAGCTCCCGTTCCACCACATCCCAAAGATGCTCTATTGGGTTGAGATCTGGTGACTGTGGGGGCCATTTTAGTACAGTGAACTCATTGTCATGTTCAAGAAACCAATTTGAAATGATTGGAGCTTTGTGACATGGTGCATTATCCTGCTGGAAGTAGCCATCAGAGGATGGGTACATGGTGGCCACAAAGGGATGGACATGGTCAGAAACAATACTCAGGTAGGCCGTGGCATTTAAACGATGCCCAATTGGCACTAAGGGGCCTAAAGTGTGCCAAGAAAACATCCCCCACACCATTACACCACCACCACCAGCCTGCACAGTGGTAACAAGGCATGATGGATCCATGTTCTCATTCTGTTTACGCCAAATTCTGACTCTACCATCTGAATGTCTCAACAGAAATCGAGACTCATCAGACCAGGAAACATTTTTCCAGTCTTCAACTGTCCAATTTTGGTGAGCTCTTGCAAATTGTAGCCTCTTTTTCCTATTTGTAGTGGAGACGAGTGGTACCCGGTGGGGTCTTCTGCTGTTGTAGCCCATCCGCCTCAAGGTTGTGCGTGTTGTGGCTTCACAAATGCTTTGCTGCATACCTCGGTTGTAACGAGTGGTTATTTCAGTCAAAGTTGCTCTTCTATCAGCTTGAATCAGTCGGCCCATTCTCCTCTGACCTCTAGCATCAACAAGGCATTTTTGCCCACAGGACTGCCGCATACTGGATGTTTTTCCCTTTTCACACCATTCTTTGTAAACCCTAGAAATGGTTGTGCGTGAAAATCCCAGTAACTGAGCAGATTGTGAAATACTCAGACCGGCCCGTCTGGCACCAACAACCATGCCATGCTCAAAATTGCTTAAATCACCTTTCTTTCCCATTCTGACATTCAGTTTGGAGTTCAGGAGATTGTCATGACCAGGACCACACCCCTAAATGCATTGAAGCAACTGCCATGTGATTGGTTGATTAGGTAATTGCATTAATGAGAAATTGAACAGGTGTTCCTAATAATCCTTTAGGTGAGTATATGTTATGTATGTGTGGCAAACTCTTCATACTGTATTTAGTATATCATACTTGCAGCAACTTCCAGAGCAGATGATTATTATTAACAAACACATGTGTCACTTTGACAGTTCCACAGGCAGCAGCTTTCTCTACTGGCCGTACTGGGGGAATTCAACACAAACTGTATTGCAACAAGGAATTTAAGAAAAAATAAATAAAACAAGGCACAGTGTTTTCAAACCACCCCCCTTTATTCCATTTATGCGGGCATAAGGAGGTCCTCCTTCCTTCTGCTGTCATTACTCGCTGTTCACAAAGATCACAGATGACAGTTAGTTGAATAAGTCTGTTTATAGCATGAGTCAGCGCTGGTGATAATCTGACTGATGTGTTGCCACACTGTGGGGCCAACTGTCCGTTCTGTCTATTGAGCTACAGATTCCTGTCTGTGCTTTTATCATCTTTAGAGAGGCGTGTGGACTCCAATGACCGAGTGTACTTTGTCAACCAAAACACCAAGACAATGCAGTGAGAAGACCCCTGAACCCAGGAGTGAGCTCAGTGCCACAAAACCACTATAGAAATAAAAATGGTACAAATAACCTGAGCAACTATAGAGATACCTGCTGGTATCCCTGGCTGGTAATAACTGATCTAAAATAAAGTTAAAGGAATGAACTGAAGAAGAAACAACATTCATAGGTATTATTCAGTCCCAGAGATTTTAAAGTAAAATGCTGAATGTGATGGCATTCAGTAGGATGCAGTGTTAAAATTAAATGATATATGTGCCCAGGGGCAACTAGCCAGTTGAAAGGTTACTGAGCATTACCTGGTGATTCACAAACTAGATAAGCAGGGCACAGCTGACCCTGAGTCATACACACATGCACAACACACAAGCAAGCTCGTTCACTCACAGAGACACAAACTGCTTTACAAAAAAGTTCTCAGGAAAGCCACTCAACCCTAACTACTGTGTATCTCAAGTCTTTGACACAAACACATGCATCCACACCACACATACATACATTTTATTATTATCATTATTATGGACTCCCAGAATCAGTTCCTTAGGGAAGTGCCAGCAATCATGCTCAGAACCAACAGGACTAAAGTGTATGCTCTAGTAATTTCCATGTGAGATTAGGTGGAGTACAGTGAGATTAGGGAGCCACTGCCAGCACTGTGTGTATTAAATTGTGTTCATGCTCCAGCTGAATGATGAGTGTTACAGGAGGCAAAATGCCAGCTGTCTTCTGCTCACGAATGCTTCCACCTTCTGGTCACAACTGCACACAGCAGCTGAGTAAGAGTCCGGCATTTTTAAAATCACATCTTATCACATGAATGTT